GTTTCCGAATGGATACTCCTCTACGGACTCAAGTTTTTCTTGATAAATCACCAGCATCATGTCTGATTCCGGCCGCTCTTTATTTTCTAAGAGTTTTGTACCTTTGATGTCGATGGTAGAATCTTGTAGGAGTTGTTGTAATTCCTCTTCTTCGGTCAAATATCGAGTTATGGGTAATAACAGGCGTTGAGCGAATTTTTACCCACAGGCAATTTAAAAAGAGTTCGGCAATGGTTCTTCACATCGGATTTTTTTCTATACTTAACGAGGTTTGCTCCCGAGCTTTTGAGCAGATTTTTCATCTTAACCTATATTTCAAAAATTCTGCATAATGTTTTAATTCTTACAATAAATTTGGATTCTAAAATGCCAATTTAACTATATTCAGTTAAAACTCCATGATTAAATTCCATACCTAAAGCATTAAGTGAGGAACTATATTTTGTGGCAGAAGGTTTTTTTAAGAAGAAAATTATCATTTTTTCTCTTTCAAAGTATTTAAAATATGTTAAGTTTGGATTCCTATTTTTACATGCAGTCTGCACATATAGTTATTTTGTGCAGTGAACTGTTTTATACTGGTCCTAAATTATCTATTAAATAAACTGTCATGAATTCTATCATCATATTTGATAAATATCGTAAATAAATTGTAAAAATGAAGAAAGAAAAATAGCCCTAATTTAAGCTTAAAATTAGAACTATTTTAGTAATATCTAAAATTAACATCACAGATCCCCACTTTTAATTTTCTTTTCTGAATACAGAATATACTTTTAAGCATTCTTCTTAAATTTGTAAAATGTCATTACTTTCAAATGATTTTTTGCTTGTTAAATTTTTAATACCAGAAAAATGAAAATTTTTGAGTGTAAAAAGGTCAAATAATTGATCATGCAGAGTAATTTGAAAATTTCTTCATTGTCCCAATTTTTAATTTGTCTATTTAAGATGAAATAAGACTGTGTTTGTTCCCATAATTTATTTGAACAAAAATATTGGATGAAAAACTTGAAAAACTGATTTATGTATAAGATGTATTTACAGTGCAAAAATGTCAAACTAAATGCTCTGTAGCGCCAAAAGAAGCGGATTGACCCCCATTTTTTGTTTTGATTTTTAATTAAGCTATGTGTATAAATTCTAAAAATATACTTGATAAAAAATTTTCATTACTTTTGATGGCAGGATCCAGCCTCCTTAACAGGTCCATCCTGATACCTTCTCTTTCTATTTCCTTTGCGAATATAATTAAGGTCTTCCGTCTTCACAGAACATCTTACAGTGATTCTATTGTTTCTTATTAGGGTCTTTCAAAGCTACGTCTGACAGTCGGGTGTGAATCCGGATGCTTTCTGATTTTAAGAAGGTATCTATGAAGGGTTTGAATAAATCCTTACTGTTTTCTGGAAAATGCCAATCCTCGTAAATCCGCTCTAAGGTATATCCTATGTCCAGGGCTTTATGTAATTCTGCAGTCACTCAGGTGCCAGTAAGACTACGACCCTGGTCCGTGTGTTGACATAGATGTTAAGATGTAGAGTCCTGTGTTTCCACACACGTTCGACATAATGGAAATAATAACTTGCGCCAAGTGCGATAAGGTAAAACGTGATGATAGAGGTCTCGGGGTGGTAAGACACGACAGTGAATGAGACCGAAATAAGTTCCTACGCCCTGGAATCGGTCTGTAATGATCTGAGGATGGCCAAAGGAAAAGGTATGTGTTTTAACACGTAAGAGTATAAGGAACAGACGTATGGCATGTCACCATCCTCACAATATAAGCGTGTAGCATTGGTCTGGCCTCTCGGGGTTCAAGGGAACTTGAATGTCCAGGTGTAGTAAAAAATTCTATAAAGCCACATCTCTTTGCATTTGTTGATCGAATTCGTGCTCCCAGATGCTACGTACAGAGTGTCCCATTTCCTCTAAGACCAAACTCCTTCTTAAAGTTTCCTCGTGTAATTCCTGATAAGTAAAGTGAGTTCTGTAAAGATGAGTTTCGGTCTGTAGATTGGGATAGCAAGTGGGGCATCCGTGCCAATACCAGAGATAAAATTCGTAGAAGGTGTGTGTGGCCTTGATCTTGACATCTCCTCAATTTCTAGCATGTCGTATGCTAGATCTGCTCTGTTGACAGGCTTTGGAGGAATATTGACGAGCAGGCTGATACCTCATGTTTAGAATGATGGCAATGGTATTCTCGGGCATGAATCCTCGACGGTAAGCTAAACTGGCCGTACTGGCAAAAGTGATGGATTCCTGGAAGGGGTCTACATTGACCACGCTCTTGAGAGTGGCTCTTAAATGAGCACAGTATCGTCTTAAAATATCGACCTCAGAAATACAATACTCTAAAATTTCCTTCTGGAAATCAAACACTTTTCCGGAATTATGTTGGTACCGATCGTAAAAAGCCTGTCGTCCACTAATAAACACATCGTCGGGATTGTAGAAAGCCGCTGATGGATAACGGCACACGTTATTCTGGTTCTGTTCAGTATTGAAAAAATGAGGGATATGCCCTTTTTCAGTTCGGTGAATCCGAAAGAAGATGGCATTTTGGACAGAACAAAAGGTAACAATTTTATACGAGTCAATGAATTTTAATCCGCAGATTTGCATGGATTTTAGTGCCGTTCTTGATGACTGTAAGCTTCATGCAGGTGGAATGCACCAGGTAATTTAAAATGATCTGTCCGTCGTATTCTTTGAAAACCTTTGAAATTGTGGGCAATGACGATGTCCTCGTCGTGTAATAAAGTAGATTTCTTATTCCCTACCATGGAATCGGGCTGTAAGAACCAGTCCATGAAGTTTTTTAAGGTATCTGGCCCTTGAAACACGTGTTGATAGGGTCCCATGTGTCGACAATGCGGGCAGGGATCTTCCATGGGTAAGTGTCTGCAATGTTCACATACGCGATGAGTCACACATAAATTAGGGACGTGGATTTTCCTGGGTAAATTCGAAATTGAAATAGATGTAAAACTGTAATGCCTCTGTTCCCATCTTTTTTGTTTGGGGTTTCAGTTGAACGTAGCACTGATGATCAGTGTCTATGGTTTTCTTACAGATCTTACATTGTTTCTGTCCTCTGCATTGATGATGAGGGAGAATATTTTTCTTCATCCATTCTTCACAATGCTCCCACCGTCCCATTAGATTACACACAGTTGTAAATTATTTTCGTAGCAATTCCTTCTCTCAAAAATCCCTTGCATTGATGACACTGAATGTGGCTCCCGTCTAGAGAACACTGAGTGTCCATTGAATAAAAAAAGGAACGTCGGTAAGGACACTTGGTTCGATGCTCTGTCATGTATCTGTACCTCACATCGCAATGATCACAATAATATTGGTTACTCGTCACACCAGGCATAGACAGTATGACATAGTATTATAATGATGATCGTTTAACAGAACATTTAAACATGTTCCGTCCCCGTATACTTTGTGAATGGGCTCCAAACTGAGTTAGTGGACGTCGACTTGAACTGAAATATTTTCAGTCAATAGCGGGGGGTTAACACCTGTTGTAGTTTCCCCATTTCTTTGGGTCCACAAGGTTGATGGATATCACACCAGGCTTGTTCCATGAGAGCTGTAGCTTCATTCTTCTGGTCATTAGCTCTTACATATCCTTTCCTCATACGCAACCATAGTTTTTCCCATTCGGGTAAACTCTCTGGATTTTCCGGGTTTTCACTGAGTAACCGGGTGACTCCGATAGCTCTAGGTAAAACAAAACTTATCCAGGGGATTATTGATCTGAACGATGGATTTGTTTTTCCCTCTCGAAATTCTCCGTACTGACTATCAGATGTTGGATATTATTTTCACAACTCCCTTCAGGATATTTGAACTGAAGCATGTCAAATTACATAGCACCGTATCCCGGTTTGAAACCTTTTTTAAATTGTTGAAGGGCTTAAATTTTATTTAAGATGACGTCCTCCCTAAAATGTTAACGTTGCCTAAACTCGTATCAAATGTCGGACTCCAGAGAAGGGTGGCTAATGTTAACCCACTTGCCCAAAAAAATTCATATAGATTTAGCACTTTAAACGGTTATTGATGAAACATATCATGTCTTGTTGGTTGTTCTGAACATATTATCATCAACAAAATGGGTGGTAAAAGAAAAACAAGAGTCAGCACAAGTTTGTAGTCGAGAAAGTTTTCTTCCTTGGGTAGAACTGCGGCAGATGATAAAGAAATTCGTGACATTTTGATTAATTGATTGATTGTATGTTGTTTTACGTCCCGTTCGAGAATTTTTCACTCAGATAGAGACTTCACCATATACCGGTGAAGGGCTTCAAATTTAGACCTTTACTCGGCACTCAGGGCCATTGAGCAGTGAGGGATCTTTATCGTGCCAACGCCTGCCCTGACTCGGGGCCTTGGTTTCTAAGGTCATATCCGAAGGACCCGCAACTTTCACTTCAAAGTGCCGAACGCAGTTGCTACCTATTTTTTATCGACTCAGGTCAGTCGCAGCCGAGATTCGAACTCACGAACTTCCGATCACGGAGCGTGAGATTTTGGGTCCCAGAGAAAAAAGTCTAGTTGAGTATTCAAGCTCTGAATTTGAAAGAAATCGTGCTAAAACATCAGTCAACCTGAGTGAAATAAGTGCTACCCAGTTTACAATGTTCGAGTTTCCTGTAAAAGATCAAATGCCAACAGTACAAAAATTAACTCTCTTTACAAATGATGTACCCGTTACCTGCAACATCAGTTTTACATCTGTAAAATTTACATATGCAATCAAAGGACAAGTATACACACGGTACTACAAATCTCTGCACATACATATTAACTACATGCACCTACTCAATAGCATTTTCCTCACCACAAGTAAGATAATAGACCAGTAGTATAAGTACCAAAGACATCATTACAGATCAGCAGCAGTCCGTTAACCTGCACTACCTCAATAAACAACAGAAGTAGCAGTCCTTTAAAGGTCAACTGAAATGATTTTTCACTTTCATTTAATTAACCCCTTATTATCTTCAAGTAAACCATAGAATTTAAATTATATTAGTTATTCGGTTATATCTTAATGTATTTCCGAAATATTTACGGTAAAAGTTGTCACACCTGAAATCTGACCTAAAATTTTGTGCGAGTTATGCCCCTTGACACGAACCCGCCATATTGAAACTACAGACGCTGAAACGTCATGCTTCAGACGATAGGGGATTGAGAAATAAAATATGGTGCTGTGTGCAGCACCAAACTGTAATATCCGATACGGTCAGGGTGTGTCTATGTTTTCCTTCCCCGAGGATCCCAAATTATGCCAAATTTGGGTAAGAAAGCTGAAAACCATTAATTATTGGCCATCCAAACATTCCAAGCTTTGCGAGCGGCATTTTACCCCAGACTGTTTTAGCCTTCCAGAGCGCGATGCATGAGGTATAGTCGACTCCAGTTAAAAAAAGATGCCATACCTAGCATGTTTGACTATACTCCATTGGATACTAAAGCCATTAAAGGCCATAAAAGGAAAACAGCAGATGTAGATGTTTCCTATGTACCAAAACAAAGTCGGACATCGAAAGTTTTGGAGAAAAGACGTGCACTCGCAGTAAGTTTTTTTTTTAATTTTTGAAATGGATTTACGAAATTTTAATGCATCTATATTTGTTTAAATTATTAGTTGTGGTGTAGAGAGTAGATTTGTCCACATACATTGTACTTTAAATAACGAATTTCATTACAATACCTGCATGAATTACATATATAATGATAATATACAGGTGTTTACAATGAACTTTCCTTTCGCCCTGTGGGGCCTTGGTAAATAAACAAATTAAATTTAAAAATATATAGGCCTATATAACGTTACCTGTACTGAAAAGTTAATCACAATATCGTAAACTTTAATAATATTTGTAATCTTAATCAGGCTCAGAACCTTAATGAAGATGTAGAGATTATTCTTCCTCCTCCGAGCCAGTTTCAGGACAGCCCAGAGACTCTAAGCACAGAACCAAGCTGTCAAAGTGGAGCACACACAATGACTTTTGAAATGTCTACACAGACTAATTATGGGTTGGTGGTAAGTTTTGTTTCATTTGTATTGATTTGCTATTGATTGAAACAGAACATTTTGAATTTATCAATTTATTATAGAGAAAATATTTTAATTAAATAATTTTCATATGTCTCATTTTAATTTTACTTCATGACTTTTAGAAATGCAGGCATGTCTCTATACAGACAGAGATTCGGCCCAGTACAATATCGACTAGTACCCAAACAGAAACAATGTTTTCATTGGATGCACCTGAGGACCTTTACGAGAGCTTCGAGTCACTGGCCAGCACTGATTCTGCAGCTTCAGAATGGATTCCACCTGATCTTGATGAAAACAACAACATAGATCATCATCATGTTCCTCCAAGTCACTGTAGAAGAAAATTTATTGTATTTGAAGAATGTTTAGACCAGCTTCTCCAGATTTGTACAAAATGTGGACAGAAGTGTGACATTAAGAAAACCATAGTTGGAACTCTGTTGTTTGTGTCCAGGGTATGTGTCTGTGGGGAGACTTTCACATGGGGATCACAACCCTTCACTGGATCAATTCCTACTGGAAACTTGGTCTTGTCAGCAGCAATTTTGATTAGTGGCAGTAGCATAAATCAAAGTTTGACCATGTTTCAACATGCTAATATATCCTGTTTCTCAGAGAGAACCTATCACAACATCCAACAGCATTATCTTGTACCAGCTGTTGAAAGGGTTTGGAAAGTACATCAAGATGCAATATTTGATGTAATAAGACAACAAAATGTAGCTGTTGTTGTTGGGGGAGATGCTAGATGTTGTTCACCTGGACACACAGCTAAATATGGATCATATAGTTTGATGGATCTGGAGCTGAGACAGATACTTGATGTTCAACTAGTTCAGGTAAGAAGAGTGCAATACCTTTTATTATTATTTTTTACCTTACTGCGCATGCACTTGCATGCATATATTACTTGCCCAAAAGTGGAAATATTGACATCAACATTCAGCACTGAATACCGAATAGCATGCCATGTTTAAAATGAGTTTAAGTTCTCAAAACATTATATGCTTAACTTTTTAAGAGCAATGAAGTCAAAAGTTCATATTGGATGGAAATGGAGGGTTTGACGAGGTGCCTTAAGAGAGTTGAAGAGGAGGGAGTAGTTATTAGTGACCTTGTTACTGACAGACATCCCCAGATTAAAGCTTACATGAAAAAAGAAAGAAGTGACATAAACCATTGGTTTGATGTGTGGCATATGGCCAAAGGTAAACTCACTTTACAGTTTTATACAATTCATTAATGCATTAGGTATTCCTCATTTAAGTTATTTACCTGAATAGCTATATATACTTATCATTTAAAAATTATTTGTGTTTTGTAGGGGTGTTTAAAAAGTTGGAGGCTATTGGGAAGAAAAAGAAGTACAAGCAAGTGGGTGATTGGGCACGGTCAGTTTCAAACCACCTATACTGGTGTGCAGCATCTAGTGAAGGAGATGGTGAATTGGTGTCTGAGAAATGGCTGTCTATCCTCAACCACATCACTGATGTTCATGAGGGTCATGGGAAGCGATTCCCCAAGTGCTTACATGGTGACCTGGAGGACAGAGATTGGATTAAGAAAGGTAACTATGTAAGCATGGGCTTGAAAAAAAAACACAACATTTTTGAGCCTCTACTTTGCAGATATACAGTGTAATTATGTGACATATATATTCTACAATACATAAATATATGAAAGTCTGTACTTTGTTATGAAGCAATATTGATCTGAACTACAAAAAAAATGTATCCTTATTTCAGGTAGTCTAGCTTTCCAGGAGATGGAAAAAGTTGTTAAGGGCAGACTGCTGGTGCAAGACATTAAGAAACTCTCCCCTGCAGAGCAAACTTCAGCACTTAAAGCCTACCACAATGTAGTGTGTCATTTTGCACCCAAATCTTTGCATTTCTTTTATGCTTCAATGAAGGCCAGGTAAGTATTTTTTTTTCTTTTATTCAAAACTCAAATGCTAAGAATTTTTTTTTTAAAGATTTTAATCATAATTCATGAATTCCACTGTTCTTCTTTTTTCCAGACTATACATTGCAGCCCTGCACTTCAATGAAAACTCCAGCCGGGATCAAGCTGTAAACAAAAGTGGAGAGCTAATATATTCTGTGTCATATCCAAAAGGCAGAAATGGAGCTGGCATTCCAAAGGAAGTCAAAGTAAAGCAAACATACAGTAAGTAAAAATTCTAAAACTTTTCCTATAACTCAATACATTTAGTATGTAATAGTGTGTCTTAATTTTATTCATATTAACATATATCTCTTTAAAATTTATTTCTCTGTTTGTTTAAAGATTATGCAATGGTTTTGATGCAAGAAGTGATCAAAGTGAGACTGGAGTTTGGTTCGTACAGTGAGTCCAGAAAGAGTCGTGAGGCTGCCATGGTGAACTGTCCTGCTTCAATTGCATCCTCGTACCAACATGTCCCAAAGTCAGAACTTGTGGAGCGCCATATCTGTCGGTTTAATAAAAAATGTTAGTTTACCATACAATCATGAACAAACAAAATGAATTGTGCTCAAATGTCAAAAACTTTCTAAGCTTGTAAACATCAATAATTTTCTAAGCTTGTAAAAATAAAATTATGTCTTTTGAGTCATGAATACAGGGATAATGAAGTTGCTTGTTTATATTACAATCCTTTAAAAAGATTCCATTGTTTTTTTTTCCCCAAATATGTGTACCTAGGACATTCCTGTTGGATTCCTAAACCCACAGTATTGCTGAGATGGAAATGCAGTTCTAATCTTTGTTACTACACATGATGGCAAGATCTTCCTGTTGTTTTTCCCCAAACATTGCCATATCCATCGCACAAATCGTCGATATGCTAGATGCCTGTAAACACTAAGAACAGACAAACTTTTTAAAAATAATCAGAACTAACGACACTTGCAGTTAGATTCAGTGATTTTTTTTTGTTTTAAATAAGCTATTATTTGAAATGTATAATCTATAATACATGTCTTTACAGTTGCAGTACCAGGTACAACCCCCCCCCCCCCCATCCACACACAAACATTCATGCTTACAAGTAAACAATTGCTTAATTTTATTCCAAATCCTTTGACATAAAATCATGATTATTAAAAAGATAACATTTAAAATATTTTCTAGAATTGTGAAGTATATCTGTTTTTTGAGTGCTCCATAAGTTCAGACAGTATGAAATATTCCTTTCAATCAGAATGACCAGAGGTATTTACATGCATGTATAGTACTTCTTTATTTGTATTATCAAGATTACATTTTACAATTTTACAAAAAAAAAACCTACTTGTGTACTAATTCATTTTCTTCCAGTGGTCCATGTTCTTCTAGATATTCATAAAAGGATGTCTCTAAAACCCATCTGTTGAGACAGTTTGCTGCAAAACCCTCGTGTTCTGTGATGCAGGTCTCTCCTCTCTCTTCCAACCTTGACTCAATAGCAGCATAAAAATGGCAACATTTGCATTCTCTTGCAGTTGGCATAGTAATGCAATTTTTACAGGAACACCTGCACCCCAAAATAAAAAAATGTTACCACCCATATTTGCAATTTTTCAGCATTCATATAAATAAAGTATACTTTTCATGAATATAACTATATAAATCATAATTCATGAAAAATACTTAGTAGTAAATGTAATCCAATTTACACTGTCCATACAACAATTAAATTTCTTTAAATTCATACTATCTTTTATATCTCCATAGGCTTTGAAACCCTAATTTTTTTATTTATTTATTCTCGTCCATCAACAGCTGTCCTATCGTGTTTAGGACCAGTATACCAATATGAGCATGAAGTACTAATCCTAGAATCAGCATACTTAAAATCTACCTCTAAATTCAAGGTTCTTAAACTTTTTTTATGCTGATCATTTCATATACTTTTAGTTAATACTTAAAATACATGTATGACTGTATACCAGTGCATGTCTGACGGCAGTTGTTCAGAGATTTCATCATCACTATGGACGCTGCCTTGTGCCGACTGCCCCGAGTCACTTTCATCGTCAAACGGCTGTCTTGTTGTTTCTTGTCTTTTAACTGGCTCGTATTGATACGGCTGCACAGTCAGTTTAAGGGTTAAGTCTATTTCAGGTATACTTTCGTCCGTGTCACTTTCGTTAGACTCGTACATTATGGGCGACGCCATGTTCCACTAAAGGGCAGATAACTCATATCGGACCGTTTTACCTGAGCTTCGGATTTGAGAAATTTTTACCTGTGTTTCAACGGGTAAAAAAAAATAATCATGGGACAATTCTTTTTTAGGTATCAACTTCCTAAATAAGTAGTTTAATCAGACTTTGAGAACCTTTTCAGTTGACCTTTAAATCACGTTTTTGATAAGTTTTTATCAAATATATGCACTTTGAAATATGAAAAAAATATACATCAGATACACGGACGTTCGATCGAGTTAACCGGGTACTCGTTGACATCCCTCACACACACACACACATATATATATATATATATATATATATATATATATATATATATATATATATATATATATATATATATATATATATATATAATTATATATACATGTATATGTATGTATGTATGTATGTATATATATATATTTGCGATGTCAACGAATATTCGAGTACTCGACTATCGTTCGATCATACCGACTATCGACTAAACTTTCTATAGTCGGTTATTCGTTAAAAATGAGTTACCTGAAAGTAATTTTAAATTCAAGGTCATAAACTTGGATTCGCCCATTTCATTTATATACATGTACAGATCAATGTCCTCGTAAGTAAAACTCAGGGTATGGTTTAACTATTCAAAGGAAATTATTTGTATGTCGATTTATATTCGGCAAATATGCCTTCAAAATCTACAGTTTTGGAATACTTTAAAAGCTTTCAGGATGGAAAAACAGTTAAAAGTACGTTATCAAGGTTATGTGAAACTTAACTTGTATTCTGCAGTGGAACATCAAATATGATGTATCATATGCCGAACCCGTCAAACATACATGTAGTAAACACAGTCTTCAAGTGAAACTTTTCTTAAGTAAGTTCTCCGCAAAATGCCAAAAAAGCAGAGCCGGAAAGAAAAAATGTTGCTATCACAAACATGATTATCAAGGATTGTCTACCACTTATTGTTGTAAATGGAGAGGACGTTCAAGAATTGTTTAGTTTTGTAGATTCAAATTATAAAGTTTCAACCTGCAATTCCATAAGATCTGACGAAATGCAACTATTCATATAGAATAATTAAACAGCTGTTACAAAATTGTAAATACATGTAAATTGGGGGACAGTTATGAGCGTAATTAAATGGTGTTTCTTTCTTATATTAATATCATGCAGTCTTTTTAAGATTGTATTGATTGTTTGCACAAAATCTCACAATTAAAAGTAATCGCAAGCTCTCTCTATTTTTTTAAGAGACCAGTCAAAGGTCCCTGACACGACACGTAGAAACGACTTCAATTAACGGATACATGTACTATCGTTATGAAAAGAAAGGACAAATGCAAGCGTTTGATATCCTGTATTCAGATAAAATGTGCAGTGAATATTATATTAATTTTGAAATCAAATGCATTGGATAAATGTAGATGTACAGCATTTATTGTACTACGTAAATTTTACGATTCAGAAATTCGTTGTACAATGGTGATAGCGTAGGTTAATATTGTACAACTAGTCTATAAAAGACAAATAGTGAAAATGACATGAAAAATTTATTTAAATTTTAACAAATATTCGACTATCGTTCGACTAAAGCCTCTGACTATTCGATTAAGCTGTCCGAATAAAATTGACATCCCTAATATATATATATATATATATATATATATATATCTATATCTATATCTATATATATATATATATATATATATATATATATATTTGTACCATAGGACTGGCGGTAAATTTAGATTTTGCTTTCATGTTGCTGTGGTGTATTTGCCAGAAGAATCACAGTTTTTTTAAGTCACGCCCACCTTTTGGCATCAAGCCATACTGTGTCAAGACCTTGACTAATGAATGAATGATGTCAATTTCAAGACCAAGGCAATGGCTGATAAATAAATTAAGTCAACATTTTAAATTTCAAAAATACTAACATTATTTAGCTTGTCGGTGTCCGCTTCATAAATGGTTCTGTATGTTTTCTCCGCGTATCCTTAATCAGTAAATGATACGTTCTATCTCGAATTCTCGTCATTTTCTTTCCCGTCTCCAAATACATATAGCAATTTCACATCAGAAGTCCCCGCATTTTTTTTACTTCCAGTACCATTTCAAACTTTCATTAAAATGTCACAAATCATTTCATTTTCTTCTCTACGCCGATTGCCATAAAGAAAAAGTTCAATGCCGATGTTTCCCATATCCATCCCCCCTTTTTTCAAAAAAAAAAAAAAAAAAAAATGATCTAGAAAGATAACTTTTCTTTCAGAGTTGACGGCTTGAACATAAAAGCCTACAATCGCTACCCCTATACCTGTACCTGACAAAAATCATGTTTTCTGCGTCTTCAACATTTCAAAGGTACAATATCTTCACACGTACCAATTCCGATTTTTTTTATCACCAACTTGTAGTAGCAGTGTCGCAGTAAAGTATGATCCTTGCAGATGGAGACAGCTATTTATACAGACTCCGGACCGTGTCTTGACACCTCGTAGTAGGCGGTGCTATTTATCAACTCGCTTTTCTCTCATTGGTCCTCTGGTACAAGTAACTTACACAATAGATATTAATTGGTTAGCTGTAAATACACTCACAGTTTTTATTCACTCGGGGCTCCGCCCCTCGTGAATGAAAAACTGTGAGTGTATTTACAGCTAACCAATTAATATCTATAGTGTAACTATAACATATATATATATATATATATATATATATATATATATATATATATATATATATATATATATATATATATATATATATATATATATATATATATATATTAGATGAAATCTAAGAGAATTGAATTGTGAATTTATACCACTACCGACAGAAAAATTCCAATAAGCCTACAGGCTTATAGCAGGAAGAAATACTTTGTTCAGAATCCCGGATGAAGTAGATGTACGTCTCCAAAAAGGAACCACCCCCTTTTTTGTAAAAACTTGAAAAATAAGTATTTCATTTATTAACAGTTATTGTGAAACCTGTCATACTATGTTATGGATATTGTACTTCAGGTGCTCTTATTTGTTTTCCGTCAAGGATAAAAGCAGCGAATATGCACATTTTACTGATAAATTGATATTTTTGGGGGGGATAAAATTAGCTTTTAATGCCCTAAGAGTATTTGATATAAAAGTCTGTATTCAGAAAAAAACTGAAATATATTGATTAAAGCACAAAATACACAGAAGTCCCTGGGACTGCTTTCTCTGACTGCTTTGTTCACTCATGCGTGAAAAAGGTTCTGAGTGACATGATAGCTCCGCCCCTTGTGAATTCTGAATTTGCAGCTCCCTGTTGTTGTTTTGTTTTCTTTCTGCAAAGAGGTGTTTAAGATAATTTTTTTTAAAAACAAGTCCCAGGGACTGCTGGGTCTGCTTTCTAGAGCAGTCCCACAGCTCCCAGAGCAGTCTCATAGCGTTTCCAGAGCAGTCCCACAGCGGTCTCAGAGCAGTCCCACAGCAGTCCCAGAGCGGTCCCAAAGCAGTCCCGGGGGGACTGCTTTCTGAGACTGTTTAGGTGTCAGGTTGGGTCTGGTTGGTACTGTAGTTTCTCAAGAACCTCTTCTGACATGAGACTATAGTGATAACTTAGACACTTTGATTTACTATAGTGATCACTATGAAAACTTTGATTTACTATGGTGATAACTTTGACACTTTGATTTATTATAATTAACTATAGTATTATTTTGTTAGGGTAACACTGAGGTCGCACCCCCAATAAAACAACTTTCATGACGCAATCCTTTAGCCAAAATGCAAGAAGCTCGAAATGAGATGAAAGATATGTCAAATAAAGGGGTAAATGAAACATCCAATAGCCCACGGAGCTCCCCCAAAGTTTTAGTCAAAAAGAAAGATGGGTCGATCAGATTTTGCATTGAGTATAGAAAACTGAATGACATCACAATAAAAGATAGTTATCCAATCCCTAGAATCGATTCTTCACTAGATGCACTATCGGGGTCTACATGTAGGTGGTTTTCAATGATAGATTAAAAAAGCGGATACTGGCAAGTCGAGATGGCTTCAGAAAACATCCCTAAAACAGCTTTTTTAATACATGGGGTGGGCACTGACAGTTTCATAAAATGCCTTTTGCCTTGTTCAATGCCGGTGCAACTTTTGAGAGGCTCGGGGGAAAAGTTCTATTTAATTTTTCTTGAAAAATCTGTTTAGTGTACCTTGACGGTATAATTGTCCTCTCAAAAAATTGTGTTTATGAGAATATCATCTGTAAAACTGTTTCTACCAGATCTGGCGGTAAATCTGCTCTGTCACATGATATCCTTACAAATCAAATTGAAAATACAACAAAAAGTGAAACAGTAAAAGTAACAATTGTGATATCAGTGTACTGTTAGTCCCCGAATGTCTCTATAGCCCAGTAGCTAAGTACTTCCGTAATAGCTTGGAAATACGGGTATATATTGAATTGTTGTGGTAAATTTTAGAAATTTATTTCAAAATTAAGGATTATCTCCTTCATGCATCGCTCTGGTTTTGGATTTGGTGCATCAAAAATTGGTACAGTATATAATTAACATTATGACCGCATGATTGAGAGGGTAAACCAAACTATCGAAAACATTGTTATCTGTTTTTGTAGATGAAAATCAGAAAAATTAGGATGACTTGATACCCATTTTAATGCTCGTCTATTGACCCTCAGTCCACGAGTCTACTGGGTCGGGTCCATGTGAAATGGTGTTTGGTCGCCCCATAACCTTGCCACTCGATTTAGTGTTAGGTAGACCAGAACCTAAAATAAATCAAAACATAACTGAGCTTGCTTGTAATTTGTCAAGAAAGATAGACAAGAGTCGCTGACAATTTTGCAAGAAATAACATAAAGTTAACTTACGTGAATACAATACAAAGATACGTCATTCAAAGAATAAAGGATCTGCAATACAAAGTTAAAAAGTCTTTCAAGCACAAAGGAGACATCTTGCACCACAGTAGACTGAAATTATAAGATGATGAAAATAAACAAATCAGATGCTAAATAATAGGAATATTTGACATTTTTTTTTCACTTGGTATTCTTATTTTTATTTTATTTATTTATTATTTATTTTGATAAATATGCCTAGCGAAATTTCGACATTTATATTTTTTATGAAATTGATTTGTCGATATGTACTCCATTCTTTATACTCGTGAATTTGAAGTACAAGTGTACTTTGTGCGATGAATTCACGTGTCAGCTACAGGCAGAGCAACATCTCACTGCCATACATTCGGACTGTGGATTCCAATATTCAGTGTGCAAATATATATATATATATATATATATATATATATATATATATATATATATATATATATATATATATATATATATATACATGTATATGGAACCAAGAACATAATTATGAGGGTATTAAACAGTTTTAAAGACCGCAATGAGCTTTCATGAAGAAGAAAAGAAAATTTTTATAATTTAAAAAAAAAAGATATAGATATATAAAGCTTTTCATGAAAAAAACGACACCAAACATGTTTAAAGGATATAGCGAAAAAAAAAATCAGGATGAGCCATTCACAGCTCCCTCAAAAGGAAAGAACAAAGAAAGTTCAATGATGGAAGTTCGAAGGAAGTAACTCCTGTGATTTAAGTCAGTAGCACAGTGCAAAGCAACAAAATGGAACTCGTAAATTTACTTACCTTGTCATTGGTCATTTGCAAAATTATTTTGTTAAAAAACATTCTGATTGTACACACAAGTACTCTGAAGTTGATATTAAAAAGATGCCCGAGTTTCTGAGTGACAATATCTATGTGCTTTTTGAGACCAGGTCCTCCAACAATCTATTAAAATTTCCATGGGTACCAATTGCGCCCCTTTATTAGCAGACCTAAATTTGTATTCATATGAAGCAGAATTTGTTCAGAATCTTATAAGTGAAAAGAAGAAAACACTTGTTGTGGCCTTCAACTCGACATTTAGATATATCGACGACGTATTGTCAATCAACAATGGTTATTTTCATTTTTATGCAGATACGATATATCCCAATGAGCTTGAAATAAAAGATTCCACAGAGTCTGACACATCTGTTTCATATTTGGATATTTTACTAGAAAAGACGTTAATGGTTATCTAACAACAAAGCTTTATGATGAACGTGATGACTTTAACTTTCAAACCGGCAACTTCCCTTACTTATGCAGCAATATACCTTCATCACCTGCACACGGGGTTTCTATCTCTCAGTTGATTCGATACGCTAGATCATGCACTACGTATGAACAATTTCTAAAACGAGGTAAGTTATTGACAAACAAGTTGATGAGATAAGAATATCAACAGTCTCGTTTAAAGTCATCATTTAGTAAGTTCTATGGTTGATACAATGACCTTGTCAGCAAATACAATGTATGATTAAGACATATGCTGACTGACGTTTTTCATACTAATTGTTAAGCCATTGTTTACACACTGAATTGTAAACGTTTTTTCCTGTTACATGTATTTCCCGATCATGACAAGGAGCACACTGCGGATGGGACCGGTTGGCGGGGGAAGCTCACTCCTCCATGGCATTTGATCCCACCTCTGATGTTTTTGGAGGTTCGTGTTTGCTCTACTCCCGATTTGTATTGTTTTAATGGACTTTGAGCTTGAATACTGTTCGTTATCTCCATATTTCATACATAAGAAAGTTTTAGTTAATTTCAATGTTGCATCAGGGAAATTTTACCTGAATTGCTTATACCAGCAAGTCCTCCTTACGTGTTCACACCAGACTTACAGTCATATCTTAAAGTGCATATTGAAATCAATGTTTTCAAACCTATATTTTGTATGAAGGGTTTGGAAAGATATAAAAATACCGCTGAGCACCTTTTAACTGCAGGAGTTTGTTTTTGTTTCATAAGTTTATGTTTGTGTCTGTATTGTGTAGAGTGTTTGTGAATATATGTGTAATTTGATGCTCATTACTGAATATACAAATGCTATTGCTTAAATATTTAATAATTTTTATATCATCTATGTTCATATTTCAAACAATTTAATTATATCTCTTTTAAGTAGGATAAGAACAGATACTGATTTTCATATTTTGCAGGGTCCTTCGGATGAGACATTAAAAACCGAGGCCCTGTGTCACGGTAGACGTTGGACGTTTGTATTTTTAAACAGCTTCTTGCCCACATTTTCAGTCAGTATCGCTTAACATCCCATACTGAACAGGTCAGACATCAATTAATATAGAACATATAGATTCCACATTTTGAGAAAAATACTATAGCAGGTATGAAGTAAGAGTTAAAATTTGATATATTACAGCAGTAACATCAATCCAAATAGCTTGTTACTTATTTCTATCATAATGAAAGAAAGAGAAAAGGTGGTAAGGAAACCTACGCCTAAATTAAAAACAAAAGTACGAATTCATGAAAACAGGTATGTCAAGTACATGGTTTATCGAAAACAGCCCAAGAAATTAAAAACAAAACTATATCAGGGAAAGGATTTAACATTTTGTGCCATTAAAAATAATTATCAAAATATAACCAAAACTAAATAACCGTAATATACAAATCAAGAGAAAATGTTCCCCACGAAGGTTTAATTCGTGTCACCTTTCAAAAGTAACCAATGAACTTATTCATTGACGGTCGTGTACGTGAAACTTACCTTAGATTCCTTCGCAAACAAAAAGCGCGACATATCTTTATACATAAGATACCAATGCGGCTGCGGAACATCACTCACTATTTCTTCGTCTTAAAATATAATCCGACAATTAACACTTAATATCTTTGCATATACAGACATTTCCAAGATAAGCTGCATTTTTTTTTAATTTCTAGAGATCTTTTTATAACCTAAAATAATTTCGGGTGTTAACATTTTGGATAACTCAAGCCCCTCTGGAGTTTGAATACATTTTTAAAAGGGTCATTTCTGATGTTATTAAGTCTTCATACTACTTAAAAGTTTACTTTTACTACTACAAATCCCTGTTTACTGTCGTAAATATACATGTACATACCTTAATAGCTTGAAACGACAAATTATGAACAGCGTTGACGGCTCCTGTGTTTTCATAAAGTGAATATTTCTTTTCTTTTTTTTTATTGCTGGCAAAAAATGTATTTAAACCGCAGGACATTGACTAATTTCTTTATATACTGTCTGACTGTCACTATATACAATGTTCCTTACATACAAAGCAATGTTAATACAGAAATTTTATGAGAAAAATATTATGATATTAAATATACATAATACCCGTTTCGTAAAATTTATATTTTTGCAGTATTTAGAGACGACATTAAAGGAGAGGTTGTTAGTCCATTTGGGTTTTTTATACATAGAGATATTTTCACTATTTTTAAACCTCTCAAATGAAAAAATACAGAATCAAGAAAAGAGACGTTGTAGATAAAATAACCCTCTAAATTATCTATTCTCATTTTGTGTACTTTTCTTTCAAAATCTGAAATAAAGCTGTACATTCTGCCATGAATAGTGACTGGACAGATACAGATTACTTATTGAATTGTTTGTATACCAAGAATATTGTCTTAAATAGATTACAAGAAACGCAACAGAATATCAAATTCATGCTTTGAAAAGTTAAGAACATACCAAAATCCTTTGAATCAGCACACTCCTCAGAGTTTATGTTTGACTTACAGGCTATGCTGCATTTTCCATAGGCATTGCATGTTGAATTGATACAATGATCACATTTTTCCACACAACGATTTCCATAATATCCATGATCACAGAAAGCACAAACAAGGGGACTGATAACTTCAGGACAATCTTCGTAACTATCGCACATTTTACTCCAATTAGTCCAACCAATAGTACAAACTTCACAGCTTAAATTATTATAGCATAGTTTACAGTTATCTTGACAACGTTTTTGACAAATCTCACCATAGTAACCATCTTCACACTCCAAGCATTTAGACGCATTGAAGCATAATTTGCAACCTTCGGGACAGGTTTGGTCACACTCATTGCCGTATTTACCGTTATTACATCCGTATAAACAGTTTCCATTCATATCACACGTGTTACTTAAGCAGGCATCGTCACACTTTTTTTCACATATTGAACCATAGAAAAAGTTATTTTTGCACTGTATGCACACATCCTTTGATACACACGATGAACAATTTTCGGGACACTTGAAACATTTAGATTCAAAAAGGAACCAAGGATTCTCACATTTAAGGCACTGTATTTTTTTAATTCCATCAATAAAACCGCAGTGTGCACAACTTCCCGTAACAGCACTACACGCCTGGTCACAATTCTCACCAAACCATCCATCTTTACACCCATGAACACAGGTCTGATTTCTAAAACATGTGGAATTTAAACAGTTAGGACTACATTCTTCTAAACAAAGTTGCCCATATCTCCCTGGAACACATCTTTCACACTGTCCTGTATCTTTATCACATTCTCCCTGTAAGTCACAATATTTACTGCACTTACGATTACAATTGAAGCCGTAAAATCCGGTAGAACATAAATGACAGTTACCTGATCGAACATCACAGGATCCATTTCCTCCACAGGAATCGGGACACTTTTCAGCACATATTGAGCCAAAATACCCATCTTCACAAATTTCACAATTGTATCCATCTTGGCTACATTGCTTACAATTACTTGGACATGTTTCATTGCATTTTGACCCACTGTATCCTTTCTTGCACTGCTCGCAGTTACCATTCTTCCTATCACATGAATCACCGTCGCAATTTGGGGGACATGTGTTATTGCAAAATTGACCATAAATGTCTTTAAAGCATCTATCACACACTCCGGTCATTTTTTCACAACTTCCATTGCATTTTCCGAGGCAGGTATAATTACAGTGACTTCCATAATAACCCTTACTGCAAGACAGACAGTCTCCTGATGTTTGATTACACACATTGTCTAAACACGTTGTTGTACAAGGCATAGAACAGTTCTTATTATAAAACCCTGTTCTACAACTACAATACCCGGATGTCTTATCACAACGTCCATGACAACCCACTGAGCAATTTAACTCACACCGATTCCCAAAGAACCCATTTTTGCATTCTAAGCAATCGCCAGTATCCGAATTGCAACCTCTTTCATTACAAAACTTTGAGCATCTCTCTTTACAAAAGTTTCCATAGAAACCCTTCCGACAAAAACAATTTCCCGTAATTTTGTCACACTCTTTGTCACAGCCAGGTGGGCAGATGCTGCAGTTTTTCCCGTAAGTTCCGCTGGTACATTCTAGTATAAAAAATAAATTTGAAAACTAAATTATTAATGTAATTAATAACATGATGTAATTTATAATGTGGTTTATATCCTGTCTCAACTGGGCACGGTAGCCTAGTGGTAGAGCGTTCGCTTCGTAATCGGGAGGCTCGTGTTCGAGTATCGTTCACCTCGTCAAACCTAAGACGTAAAAATAGGTAGTGATCGTTTCTTCGCCAAGAGCCCGAAGTGAAAGTCGCGGGATTTTCGGACGAGACCATAAAAACCGAGGTCCCGAGTTACGGTAGGAGTTGGCACGATAAAGAACCCTTACTCTCAATGGCCCTGAGTGCCGAGTAAAGGTCTAAATTTGATTCCCTTCACCGGTATATGGTGACGTCTCTATATGAGTGAAAAATTCTCGAATGAGACGTAATACAACACACAATCAATCAATATATACTATCGTGTGTTAATTTCCTGTCTTTTTAAGATGGCCAGAAAATGCATACAATCCTATTTTCTTATTTTTATAATGATAAAAGTTAATACAAAAGAACACTAAAAGATAGAGTTGCTACATTTTTACCAGCATATCAAAAGTTAATTACATAATTTTGAAATCCGTATCAACGCACTTCACAGTCACTCAAATTTTACATTTCTCAAGAAATATGTTTTAAACATGTTTGTATAGCATATTGAAATACAGATAAGGATACTATATATTACGGAATAAATTTTATATAGTTAAAATTTTAAGTACAAACTATCAACTCATTATTTGAAGAAATAAGAAAACGAATGTCTGTAACAGCCGAGTGTAAGATAGCAAAACTTGTACACTCTCGCAAAACATATAATTAAGCCTCATGGAAATTTTGTAGAAAAAGATATGCAATCGCATATAACAGGTAAACTGCATAAGCACCCCAAAGAGTACGAAACCAACGATCATTATCCAGATCAGTAAGGCATGTTGCAACTCATATAAAAGATGTTGGGGTAAGGAGAAAACTTAAATATTTTTTTTAAATACCGGTAAACACAAAACCTTGAAACTGTTCCATATCGAAAATCCTTTACAATGAGAAAATGGGGGAGGGGGTCGATTTTCGGTTTCGTTTCCTCTCCTTTTTTTAAATGAATTATTTGAAATAATTAGATCTATTGTATGTAACAAAAAGGAGTACTCAGTACGTAAGTGTCTATGCGAGGGTGGGGGATAAAGGTGGGGTGGGGATAGGGACTTCCAATGAAAAAACTTAAATTAAATGCTTAACTAGGAACATATCTACATGTACACTATACTACAAACAAAGAGCTGGTACTGGGGCCTGCTGATGTGACATGGAATTGTTTTGAATGCATCTCAATGAAATAAAAAGCAGGTGAATTTAAAATATGATGTATAATAAATTTTGTAATTTCTACCGAGCTTTTTATTAAATGAGGCAAATTATGCACATATTTCCCTCCCGCAATATGCATGCAAAATCGCAGAGATTTTAATTATTTTCAATGAACTGCATTGTATATTTGACAACATACTACGTTTATATTTTTTCTTTCATCAAAAATGTAATAAAAAAAAAAAGTAACGTCAAATTAATTTTCTAACGTCACGTAATTTAATGTCATTTTGACGTTACCGAAATTGACAACAACACCGTGCGTGACGTCACCGTGACTGATAGAGCAACTGCAAAACATACCAAAATGTTGAAATTCAAACACTTGAAGGGTTGTATTTTTTGTAGATACGATTTCAAGATAAGTTCCTTTCAGAGGTTTCCTGCAAGTCATTGGTACAGTTTTCTTAGTATCCATGTCGTTATGCAATAATGTGTCACAAATCTCATCAAGATTACGGGAAAATTCTTTTTCTTTCACATAAAATGTATAGGTCTCATTTCGCCCTACAACAAAAACATAATTATCATAGATAACCCAACCATACATGCCATGGAGATTGTTAGGGGTCTACTAATAAGCATAGTTTTAAAATTGTTATAAATTAGAATCTGAGAAATAAATCTATATTTAAAAAGTACTTACGAAGTCGGAGGGTAATGTGTATTCTATCAATTTCTGTAGACATTTTTAATTGGACCCTTACATATGGATTGAAGTAAGAAACCTTTACAGAAGTATTAACATCACCATCTAGTGTTCGAGAATTCATTTCATTTTCGACATAACTTTGATATAAAATGTTAGCTGAAAAAAACACACCCATGCTATTCAATAATGTAGACAAAGAAAAAATAAAAATATACATTGTAAATGATTGTTAATTTTTAAAAGCATATTTTTACAGCTTGTAAACTAAGATTATTTGAAGTATACTTAACCTCTTTGACATTTGTTTTTAGTAGAACCACTCCATCCAGGCAGACATTCTGTACAGGTTGTGTTACAGTCTACACAGTGACAGTCACAGGTTCCATTGCTCCAACACTGTCCTTGATATTGAAAAGTGAGAATTTAGATGAATGAATATTGATATTGAAATACATATATAATGAGGCGAGAATTAACATAAAATATTGATTCCAACTTCAATTACAAAATCGTAAGATGATAAATTCCTCTCCAGAGCTGCATTAATATTGATCTTTATAAATGAATCACATTTTTAACTGTAGGGTTGTCTTGATTGAAATCGGTAGACAGTTTTCAAAGAGCTGTGTGACTAGTAAGGGAAAGTGTACTGATGAAATTCGATTTTACCAAATACTAAAAATACTAAAATGTCGCCTTCCCCCAGGTGTAATTTATTAATCCCACACAATTGATTTCTATTATTTTTATCGTTTTCTCAATGTTCAGAATATCTTCCAATGTTTTAATGAGCAACGTATTTACTCTTAAATTATTTTTCGTTTAAATGGACGATTAAAAAAAAAAAAATCATTTTTCACATTTTTCGGTAAATGTAAGTTCATTAACATTGACCAGCAATTAAATACAATATAAAATCGTTAGATTGAATTAATAAATGCTTCCCTGAAAGTTCAAAGTAATTATCTTAAGAGACCTCAATTAAGATTTCCTTATCCCTCCAAACCTTTCCATGATTAGGCTAAAGAACCTGTGCTCATTCTCCATCCTTTATAAGGAATAGAACTAACCCTTTCTTCACCATAACGCTCATTTCACTTACAAACATCAAGTAAAAACAAACCTTCCACCATCACAATTAAAAACTGTACTATAAACAGGGATCCGAGCGTTTTCATCTGAAAAAAGTAAGCACATATAAACAATTAATCCTTTGATATGCACCCCCCATAAATATCAGATTTTAGGATCTAAATCTACTTAATTTAGGCTGGTTAAATACTTCGTCTATGTTATATGTATATATACATAGTGGTTTTCAAGAGCAACTAAATGTGATGAATATATACACAACAAGTACTTTAACTATATGGTAAATATATGCAAATTAATCTTACTTTGATGTCTGTATTCTTCCAAACATGTCGCAAATAATCAACAAAAAACCCACATGTAATCTTTAATACGGCAGAAAATTTCCGTATATTATTTATGAGTCACAAAATACTTACAATGATCGAAAACTTTAAATGCAGTTTTAAGCACGAGTTTGGTAAACAAAAGCTCGTGTAAAGACAAATACTTGTAATGTTGTCTATTATGTGACTCACAAATGATCTTTTTAAAATGATAGACATAATAAATGATGACCTTCATTGACTAAAGAAAAATAGATTTGTGAAAAAAGTGTAGAACAGTATTTTTTCATCGGAAAATAGTATGACCTTGACCCAACCTACATGTAACATATTCACATGATCGAGTGTTTTTACATGTAATTAACCATTACATATGAAAATCCGAAAACAAATCAGTATAATTAAGGTCTTTAAGTGAATCTCTGTATCATTGCTTAAGTATTAATGCGACATAAACAACAAATATCGGAACATAACCAAGAAGCGTGATTTCCGTAATTCATATTCTCCAAAAAAAAAAAAAAACAAAACAAAAATCCGTGATAAATACGGAATTTCCGTAATAGTAAACACCTATTTATTTTAAGTGAAAAGTCAGGAAATGATAGTTACTTTCCTCCTATAAGATAATGGTAAACGTCTATCAAATTAACTATATATTTATTGGACTTTTATTTGTGTCTAAACTTTCTTGTTTTGCTGTCTAACATATTAGGGCTCTTATTAGTTTTGTACATATATACATGTATCTCACAAAAAATATTTCAATTTTTAATTAGCATTTCTACAATCAAATATCGTCAAAATAACAAAGGATGCAACCAACTATATATTTCTAAAATTTCTCCAATAGCCGTCTTCGGGTAAAGTGATGATATACTAGTATGCAAAATGTCTTTCTATTGCAAATCACAGTGCCACATAAGTTGATTATGTATGGAAAAGTAACTTTTTATAAAGGGAGCATGTATCAGTATCTTCAAAATAAGCAGAATTAGTAGATAGTAACTGATTTTAGGGTAAAAAGATATTTCCTTTATGGCAATATCCTCATTAATAGAAAACTTTATACTTGGATACTTGAATACAATTCTGCAATTCAAAAGATAGGTATACGATTAATGGATCAATGGAGATATACTAGTATACTGGTATAAATATTCCACCTCGATCAGTATGAGTTAAAAATGTAATCATTTCGTCTCAGAAAAGAGAAAAGCCAGCTATCACGTAGGGTTCCATACTTCCTCTATGAATGGATGTAAACTTGTGTGTATTTAAAATACATGTACTATATAATTGTTTTCGATCAAAGTGTATTTAAGTGGTATGGATTCGCTTGCTGTGAAACCTTCGAACACATTTCCGATTTCATGATATTTTGTATTATTGGACTATTTATGAATGTTTTAGAACTTCCGGCCAGATATTGAGGAAGGTTTGTGGATTTGAACTTAAGTGTTCACAATGAGGACAGGTGTATTTTTATTGGATTGTGGAAATGTCAGACATGAACAAATGTTCCAGACATATTGGTATTGAAATTATGTCTTCTTTGGAATTATCATTTTTCCTGATCTGTGGGATCATTGTGATTAACAATCCTAAAATAGAAGGTAATTACCAAGTAAAGTCATTATGTTAATAAGTAATAAAAGGAGGAAAAACTTCATGCATACTTCTCTCAAGTCTTATTTGTTAAGTAGTTGAATACATGATTTGTCAGAGTATTCTGATATGCAGACACTTAAATCCGACTCCTCTTTTTGCAAGCACATTTTTCAACCTATAAACATCCGTGAATAAAGGTTGATGTATCAAATAATACTATTTGACAGATACTAAATTTTTCAGAGCTCTCTAAATAGTACGAAAATAGTGTATGCCGTAATACTGTTATATATGTTTCTATATATGTACGTATGTATTAAGAATAGAATTGAATAATTATATATATATATATATATATATATATATATATATATATATATATATATATATATATATATATATATATATATATATGGGGGGATGTGGGGGTGTGTGTGCGTGTGTTATTTAATGTTAATTATTTTTTCACATGTGTGTGTGTGTGTGTGAGGGTGTGTGTGTGTATTACGCTACTTTAAAAATCTTTCAAGCTTTACATTTTTCAAAAAAAGGTCAGTGCAAATTTCTTCCAAACTCCAGTGATGTGTGCATGTGTCACTGTCACAATAATTGCCACTACGGATGCCAGACTTGTGATTTAGGATGGGGCGGATCCAAACATTTACACTGTCAAAAAGGTACATAATCTATATACCCGGGTATTTCATGTAATTCTTCGTTCCCTTTGTGGATAACATGTATATCTTATATGTATGGATTCAAGTAATGTGGTCTCTATTTATCTCTACTTATCCTTAATATATTAAACATATTTATAGTCAAACTTCAAGTTCTTTTTTTTTATTTATACAAATAAAAGTGAATGGGATTAGGCAGCAGGCAAAGCCCATTTTAGCCCTCTCCCTACAAGGTCAAGGTAAACACACTCACTATACAGGTATAATACTAAATATACAAACATAGTAGAAAAAGAAACAAAAAAAGTAGAAGAAAATACAATGTAGTACCGGTTGGGAAATATTGACAAAAGTAACATACATGACAGTGTCCAAAGAAAGTTTGGTTGCTGCTATGTAAGCATGTACTGCTTCAATTTTTTTTAAAATATTAATACCTAGTCCACGATTAGGGCTACCATATAATAATAAATCGAGTTTAGGAATTTGATCACAATCAATAATATTTTGGATTGTTTGAAAAAGTACATTTCGGGGAGATGTATATTTTGGACAAGCAAAAAAAAATGATGATGAGCATCTTCAACAGAGTCAATACAGTATTCGTTCAGTGGCGTTTCTGATAAAAATTGGTTATATAAGTTTGCCATCAAATTACTTGTATTATTTCTTAACTGACTATCTATTAAAGTGTAACTTCTTGTTTTCAAGTTCTTGTGTAATAAGAGTTTATTAAATGGGCCCGGATTTAGAAATCTAAGAAATATTCAAAACTTATTATCAGCTTAGATGTCATCATGCTATTAATTGTTGATCTGAGAAAATGATACAGTCATAAATTTTCACGGTAAATCGTACTTCCTTTCCATCTTGCGACCTAAATTCATTGAAATACAGACCACTAGCATACTATGACTAATCAATGAAGAATCAACAATTCCGTACCAACTGGAGAAAAGTTTGATGAAAGTTAAAAATGTTTTAAACATTTTTACTTGTATATAGTTTTTAATGATTGCTTGTACATGTATTTTAAGATAGTTATGTTGATAAAGTGTAACTGTTTTGTCATACCTTTTTATCATTCTTTGTAAATCATATATAGAGGATTTTCAATGTTTTGTAGATGAATATGGAATTTATTTCACAAGTCGGACAGGATTTTTTTTATATTTTCACGAGTGCGAAGCACGAGTGAAAATACCAAAAAATCCCGTTTCACGAGTGAAATAAATTCCATATTCATCTACAAAACATTGAATTTTCTACTTAATACAATTTCTTAGATTTTCCCTTTGCCTCTGTCATTTCGTAACTCAGAGGCTGTGACGTCATAGTTGAGCGTTTGAGACATCATAGTTAAGCGATTGCGAGATTGAAAAACGTTGTAAATATGGATTTTTAACATTTTGGGAAAAACTTTGGTAGTATACTGTAACTATTAGTCTCTGTCAGGATGACTCATTAACTCTATCTCATAACAGGCCGGGGATATTTTTTTAAAAAAGGAAATCCGTAAGTTTTGCCGCACTTCTGATATTCTCACACTGTGAGGATATCATTTTGATATCCTTTCGTACCGTGTCGGAATATCACTTTTATTCGATAAAAAAAATAATACAGTATTTCACTGTTGAAAATGTAATAAAATCAAAATATTATCTTTTTTAGAAAATATAGTGTATCAGAAACAAACAAGGCAAGAGAATACTTACTCAGGGAAATTCGATTCAAGAAAGGCCGTGGACGGAGATCTACGGACCTTCTCTAAAGTACAGGAGGCGGAGGACACAGTCTGGTGGAGGGTCCGGTTAGACAGGGACTACAGCGTTAAAAGAATCAATGTCACTATGGATTTGAGTAAAAATATTGAATTTAATCAACAAAATAGATTACTAGCATTTTCTTTTCTCATCTCATTAAAAATGACAAATACAAAATGTGAAAAAATGTAGATTGTTATACCTTTAAAAATTGTTTCCTATGTAATTCTATACTTATAAAAGTCTAACATTTCTAATGTTTTACTTAGCGGTCATAAAAAAAAATCGATGTTTGACCGCAGAAAGAGATATTGGACATGTCGATGAGATGTTGGATCGCTTACGTCACAATGTGGGCGGGGTCAGCTGTATCTTATATGCATTCCTTGGAGTTTGACAGAACTTTACGGAATTAACCATGTTTAAACCGCGGTGCGGGTAAACAAAATTTACATCATGTTATATCAAAATAAAAAGTGAAAGGTATAACAAAACATTTATTGACTGTGTTCTCGGGCAAAATGCGCTTTGTCGACCCCCCGAACCAAACTGTTTGCCTCCGGCTTAACGGCCTCAGGCAAACAGTTTGGTTCTTGGGTCCGACAAAACGCATGTTGCCCTCGAACCCAGTCAATAAATCCTTGTATTCTTATTTTTTTTTTATTATTATTTATTTTCATTTTTTTTTTTTTTTTGGACAGTTTCTGATATTGAATACAAGGTCTATGTGACGCATGATTCCCTTGTGACAAACAATCATTCTCTTTGTGATACTAAAGAAACTCACTCAGATCAGCGAGGGAAAATTGTAGTGTTCGAATGTTCACATGCGATTTTAGGCAGCACGATAGAGATCCAGGCACCGCCTCACGTACCCTTAACTATCTACGAAGTCAGCTCAGCATGTAAGTGTAATAAAAAGCTTTCCATCGTGAACTTCATTTTTTATCTATACGTGAATTCCTAAGAAGGTCATTTGTAAAGTCTTGCCTGGATTACTGATTTGACTGATTGTATGTTGTTCCCATTGGGGAATTTTTCACTCATATAGAAACGTCACCGTATGCCGGTGAAGGGCTTTAAGACTTATACTCTGCACTCCGGGCCATTTGGTCCCAAATATCTGACGTTTTCCTGGCTTTTTTTACGATTTGATATATTACATGCCAGGAAAACGTCAGATCCGGCGCTATTACGAAAACTGGAAATTTCCCCTTCTCCAACCGGAGTTGATTTCGATACTTGCGAACCGAATTAAAGGCCGAACTCACAATTTATCAATAGCACAAAACTTCTAGTACTCACCAATATCGATGAAAAGAAAACATCACTCCACATTTCGATACAGGACTTGCAAGATTTTGAAATACACAAAATTAAAACAAATCTTGACAGTCAAATAAAATGTCTTCATCGGATTGTATATTTTATAAACGAACCATAAAAACGATGTTGATGAGTACTAAAAGTATTGTACTATTGATAAGTTGTGCGTTTGACATTTAATTCGGTTCGCAGACACGGAACCTCGGTTTTAAGGTCTCCTTCGAAAGACCCGTGACTTACAGTCTTTTATTTAAAATGCCGGGCGCTTTGCAAAGAAACAGTCACTACCTATGTTTACGTATTAGGTTTGACGCGCGGCAAACAGGAAGCGATTGCACCACCACTAGATTTTGCACGAATGCTGAATTTAGCCTTCATTTTACCGATGGGTGACATGTTAAAGTTTTTGGAGCAAATTTATTTCCATATGCAGGCCCTATGGTAATCAAATTGGAATGAATGATAATCTAGGAAATCCAGACTTTTCTCTGATTCTGCCTCTTACACACATTTTTCGATTTTTGAACAGGTTAAAATCTATGTAGGAGGTCCCTTCCTAAATCTTAGATGAAATTTCATTGATGTTGCATCTAGGCAAATTAGTTCTTAGAGCAGGTTCATTCAGAAATATCTACATGACATGTATAAACCCTTACTGGACCAAACTCGTATGGATTACACACTACCAGACTTGCTTTGGATGCTGGGTTTGATTTTCCAGAAGTCAGTGAATTTGTTATAGCGAGTCCTTTCCCAGGTAATTTTGAGTCTTATCTGGACCAGCGTTGCATGGACGATGCATTTCGGGATGCACACGATCAGTCTTGCTTCTGATGCTGTACTTGACGTACATTTTCCAAGTGACTGAATAGATCAAGTTCTTGGAACCCTTCCGACATAAATTATGTAAATTCTACCCGATTAAACTAGGATATATGCGTTGCATGTAGGGATGCGCATTACGAAAACATGAAGTTAATTGACGTTGGTGTGGGTTTTTGTAGTACCTTCATAACATTCGTCGAGGCGAGCTTCGGAATCTGTTATTACCTGGTATGTTTTTAAAAAGCTAGTGTAAAAGCTAAACTTCGACTAACAGTAAACTAATAGACGGGACCATCTGACCCCGTTTACAAAGCTGGGTTATTTTCTCTTTTTCATGCTATTTTAAACAAAAAAGTTTAACATTATCATAAACACTGTGTTTTGTAAATGTAGCTTGTACTAATGGTGTATATGGTGAAGAATGTGATTCCCTTTGTCCTACAAAATGCCACGGAAGATGTAACAAGATAACAGGAGAGTGTGACCAATGTCCAGTTGGTCAATTTGGACCTTCGTGTAACTTAACCTGTTCTAAATACTGTGGACAATCAGGATGTAACAGAACGACCGGGCAATGTTATCAGTGTGACGAAACTTTCTGGGGACAGGACTGTACCAGAATCTGTTCGAGAGGATGTTGGCACCACTGTCAAAGAGAAACAGGACACTGCAAAGTTTGTCATTCTGGATATCGTTTTAATGGCACAACATGTGTACAATGTCGACCTGGGTTTTACGGAAAAAATTGTTCTCAGAAATGCAATACAAAATGTAAAAATGAATTATGTGATGCCGAAACAGGTAAATGCACCGATTGTTTGGAGGGGTTTTATGGACAACTCTGTCAGAATGACTGTTCTAGTGATTGTTTGAATTCTTCGTGTTCTGCATCATCAGGAGCTTGCTTGGAATGCGCACCTGGTCATTATGGGACACAGTGTAATCGATGTTTGAAAGGGTACTATGGTGAGCAGTGTCAAGAAAAATGCGACTACTGCAACTCAAATAATTGTGATCCTGTAAACGGTACTTGTAAAAAATGTAAGAATGGAAAATTTGGCGCCTTTTGCAAACAAAGTTGTTATTCATCGTGTAGAAACAAAACGTGTCATATCAATGGAGAATGCATTGCCTGCAATAAAGGTTTTTATGGTGAATATTGTGAATCATTGTGCCCTCCAATAAATTGTAAAATTTGTAACAAAACAAACGGTGAATGCTTGCGGTGCATCACGGGATGGTACGGGAGACAATGCAGGGAGGTATGTCCGGCTGAATGTAGAGCAGGTTGCTACATGACCAACGGAAGCTGTGATGACGTGCAGTCGCCGAGTCCTCAGAGCTCCTCTCAAAGTAAGATTTCTTCTGAAATTGCAGTATCAGAAAAAGTTTACATTAGGAATCCCAAAATTATTTTTAATTTTTTTCTTTTAATACAATTAGTCTACCACTTGCTATTTAGCAAAGAGTAAATAAACTGATCAACCCATGAGAACCACTTGCTATTTAGCAAAGAGTAAATAAACTGATCAACCCATGAGACTTCGTTGGTTTGATTTGCTTTAAATTTTTTTCGTTTTTAGATATGGTAAATGTCATGATAATAGGTGGAACAGCATTATTGATAGTATTATCCATTGGCTTCCTCGTCAAGATTTGCCATCTTCAGAGAGAAAGGTGAGTTCATCTTTATCTGTATAATAACATCTCTATATGAGAACTGCAATGATTGTCATATTTATTGTAATAAACAAACGTCATCATACTAATTTTATCAGGTTTATGTGGTGAAATCTAAAGTTTCCACAGAAAGGTGTATGTTATCTATCTCTAAAAAATATTATTTAATTAAGATTTATTTTGTTCCTTGTTTATAATTGAAACATACATTCAACAGAAATAAGTTGGTTAATGGTACCCGTGGATGCACAGTACATATTACTTAATTGACTGAATTGTAGAAACAAGACGAGAACGGAAGCGAATTATGGACGGTCCTTCAGCCTGTCTGGACAGAACTCATCTCATCAGTACCATTCCCTAGTTGAGGAACACACATATGAGAATGTTAATATTGAGGGAGAGGTCGTAAATGAAGCGGATATAGAGCCAGTGACGGAGAACGCATGCGCCACCATTGAAGACTGTAATGATTTTTTTAAAGCAGAGATAAATTCGGATATCAGACTCCCGAAGAGGTTTATGAGGTTTGCCTCCCTGGATGAGGATATATTAAGGAGAAAGCATAACCGTGCTTCTGAGTTGTCTACACCGTATGAAACCGTTATTATAAGGGAGGATTCCTCGCGTGTGTCTTATTACAAAAAATAATTTTCTTTAAGATTCATAGTCGATCGGAAATTAACAGGAAATTAACAATTTTCTTTTTCATGGGCTAAAACATTATCACCTAAAAAGTACTTGAATAATCAGGCATAATAACACATGTACATGTACGTAAATATTCAGGAAAAGAGAAAATGAGTACGAGTTGATCAGTGGATGACTGAAAAAGTAGCATAGCTTTTAAGAACACATGCTAAAATCAAATATTGGATGCATGGAGCGATATATATTTGTATTTATTTTGGATGTGAATGATGCATACTTTAAATCTCTAAAATAAAAAAAAATTGTAGATCGTCTAAGTTGTTCAAATTTCTTCCATTTTGCCAATATCCTTACAAATCTATACATATTTTTATCACTTTATAGGACATTATTAAGAACAAAAGGCCCAAGGGCCTTAAAAGTCACCTGAGTATAATACAACAATTTAGAGGATCCACAGAGTATAAAATAAACTGATAGATGAAGCTTTGTTGCCCAAAAGCAAGAGAAATAGGATGATCAGGATCAACGAAATTATTAGTTTAGTATTCAGTAACAACTCATAAAGTAGTTCTAATCTGCTCTCCAATTATTACTATGCAGTCTATTAAAAAATATTAGTGCATCAGTGCTATCTTTACCCCCATATAACCCCCCATATAATAACCTCTCACATTGGCCTCTCTTGGTCTTTGAAGAACATTTAACTATTTCTGTCTGATTTTTATTTATCTATTATTTATAAATTTACCTGATCATAAAAAACTATGAATTCCTATTTGTATTATACAATAAAGATTTTTGCATAATTTCCTTATTCTATTAGTCTTTCAAATACATTATTTACAGTTACTAATAATCAAAGGTGAATGACAAAAGGGAATATTAAATAACTTCTCTTAATTTTTGTTTGTTTATTGTTTAACGTCCCGCTCGAGAATTTTTCACTCATGGAGACGCCACCACTTGCCGGTGGAGAGCTGCAAATTTTTACTATACTCGGCAGTCAGGGCCATTGAGCAATGAGGGATCTTTTTCCACCTGATTCGGGCCAGCACCTACTGCGACGTAGGACCTCGGTTTATACGGTCTCATGCGAAGGACCGGTCTCAATGTCCCACAGTGGGATTCGAACCCGCGACGTAAGGATCAACTCCTTACTTCCCGACTCTAGAGTGAACGCTCTAACCACTGCGCCACGCGGGCTAGTTCTCTTGGTAGAATACAATACAAATTGATAGAGTCCTGGACCAGAACACTTGACCAAATGGTCCAAATGTTCAAAAATCTGGTAAAAACCCTTGCTTTTACCTTGTTTGCATCCGATATGCCCAGGAGCAGAGAAGACTTTCAAAGAAATTATGTATTTTCACTACATATTCAACACAACCCCTACATTAACACCAGAACCCATGGCCCAGGGTCATGAAATTGATTTCACGAATTTAAAAAAGTTACCCTTATTATTAACTAATGCACTTAGTTGAAGATTTTCAAAGAATTAACACATTAATAGACCCCCCCCCCCCACACACACACACACACCACGGAGTGACACTATATTATCAATAGAGCCCCACCCTTACACCAGAACATCTAGATCTGATCCAGGGGGCATAAAACTCACAATTCTGGAAGCAGCACCCTTGTTCATCATTACTATACACTTAGTTTTTTTTTTTGCTTTATAAACAGGAGCAGATAGAATATTTTCAAAGAAACTTCCTTTTTTACTATATAATCAATAAAGCCCTCCCCTCTTTCACCAGAACCTCCGACCATGGGCTCATGAATTTCACAATTTTAGAAGAGGCATCCTTGCGTATCAAAACCATGCACTTCGTTTGTTTGAATAACACCCAGGAGCAGAGAAGAAGATTTTTGAAGAATTAATTCATTTTCACTTTATAATCAATAGAGCCCCGGCCTTACACCAGAACCCTTGACCCAGGGGCCATGAAATTCACAGTAATGGAAGAAAAACCCTTGCGCATTATAGCTATGTACTTAGTTTGTTTAATATTCAGGAGCACAGAAGACGACTTTCAAAGAAATAATACACTTTCACTATATAATCTCTATAAAGCCCCGCCCTAGCACCAGAACCCCTGACCCTTGGGTCATGAATTCCACAATTTTGGTAGAGAATTCAATGCTTATTACAATCATGCCAACAGTTTGACTGCTTGGTGTCCAGGACTAAAGAAGAGGATTTCTAAAGATTGCATTAATATTGGTAATTTAAGCCCCACCCCTCAGCCCCCCCCCCCCAGGGGGGGGGGGGGGGGCAGGGACCATGAAATTTATAATTTTTGTTTCCCTTCTCCCATAGATGCTATATGCTAAAATCGGTTTAAACTGGTTCAGCGATTTCAGAGAAGCTGAAAATGTTCAAATATTAATGCATGATCCACATCGCACAACGCTGCACATAGGTCACTTGAGCGACTAAGGTGCCCTAAAAATGAAACTTAATGCGGCAAAATTTATTCATTTTACTTATATAAACATATGCTTAGTTATTATTTTCATGATTAGAATATTATATTTAATCCGTTTTATTCATCGATATTATGCTAGAGAATATCTTCAAATTGTAAACTATGTGTACGTTTGTTTTAGAGATTGTATTTTTTTTCACTTGGCTTGGATAAATATAAATATTTTACTTCTCAATATAGATAAGGAAATACACATACGCACATGCATACTACATACTGCATACTCATTCATAAAGAGTGTTGAACACTAATTCCAGCTGAAATGAAATTCCAGTATATATATATATATATATATATATATATATATATATATATATATATATATATATATATATATATATTATATATTAGCACTTAAGACGTGATTAAGTAGAAAAGCATTTTGAGAGTAATGCATAAGCAATACTAGTCCCCTACCGGCAAGTGAAATCTGGTTCCCGTTAAAAATTAAAAATGCCACAATTCTGTCAAAAATCAATGAAGCAGAACGAAATGCGAACTTGATCTATAACTTATTAAGGTAAAGTCACATGCCAAAAATCAGCTCAATATCTGCAAGCGTTTAGGAAAAAGTGCGGAAAACCCTGAAAAATTGGAAAGGCCGTAATTCCGTCAAAAATCATTGATGCGGTACGAAATGCAAACTTGATCTGTAACTCATCACGATACACTCACATACCAAAAATCAGCTCAATATCTGCAAGCGTTTAGCAGAAAAGTGCGGAAAATCAAGTGGGACAGACTGACAGACAGACGGACGGACAGACTCGGAGGAAACCTATAGTCCCCACCGGTTTCACCGGTAGGGGACTAAAAATATTGAACACATATTGGCAGAACCATGTCTTTTATTATAAATAACATTCTGAGTTAACACGCCACTCGCATATTCATATACTATGTAAGCATATACTACAATGTATGTAAGCTTTTAACAGCATAGCATTCACAAATATTTAACAAGCATTCTGAGAGTATTGCATTAGCAATACTAGTCCCCTACCGGCAAGTGTAATCTGGTTCCGTTCCCATTAAGAATTGAAAATGCCATAATTCCGTCAAAAATTAATGAAGCGGGACGAAATGCAAACTTGATCTATAACTCATCAAGGTAAAGCCACATACCAAAAATCAGCTCAATATCTACAAGCGTTTAGAAGAAAATTGCGGAAAACCTGTAAAAATTGAAAAGGCTGTAATTCCGTCAAAAGTCAATGAAGCGGAACGAAATGCAAACTTGATCTGTAACTCATCAAGATACACTCACATACCAAAAATCAGCTCAATATCTGCAAGCGTTTAGGAAAAAAGTGCGGAAAACCAAGTGGGACAGACTGACAGACAGACAGAGGGACAGACAGACAGACAGACGGACGGACAGACGGACGGACAGACTCAGAGGAAACCTATAGTCCCTTCCGGTTTCACCGGTAGGGGACTAACAATCATTCTGAAAGTATTGCATTAGCAATACTAGTCCCCTACCGGCAAGTGTAATCTGGTTCCCGTTAAGAATTGAAAATGCCATAATTCCGTCAAAAATTAATGAAGCGGGACGAAATGCAAACTTGATCTATAACTAATTAAGGTAAAGCCACATACCAAAAATCAGCTCAATATCTACAAGCGTTTAGAAGAAAATTGCGGAAAATCCTTAAAAATTGAAAAGGCCGTAATTCCGTCAAAAATCAATGAAGCGGAACGAAATGCAAACTTGATCTGTAACTCATCAAGATACACTCACATACCAAAAATCAGCTCAATATCTGCAAGTGTTTAAGAAAAAAGTGCGGAAAACCAAGTGGGACAGACTGACAGACAGACAGACAGATGGACAGACGGACAGACAGACGGACGGACAGACTCAGAGGAAACCTATAGTCCCCTCCGGTTTCACCGGTAGGGGACTAACAAACCATATCAGAGCTGGGGGACCTGGAGACAACAGTATCCCTCAGCAAATGGTTATCTGTCAGAATTGCATTCCATAATACGGCGATAAACGTCATTTTCAATATATATTTATGGATATATCTGATTAATGAAAAATATATTGTAATGTCTATATATATAATTATATATTTGAATGCATGTGATAAAATTCTTGTAAAATATGAAAACGAAGTGTATCTGAAATATGAAAAAATAATCAATCATGTATATATGGTGAAAAAAGTTAAGTATGCTAGTAATAAATTTAAAATGTGTTTGTATCTGTACAAAATGTATATATCATTTTCAGTTTAATTCAGTTTTTTGTCCATTATTTCATCTGAATGAAGAAAGTCAAACGAATGGTCGTCTTCGCTGCCTTTAGTCGCAAGTGAATCATCACCTCTTCCTATGACTTTGGGTTTACTTGTGACAGCGTTCTCAGTCTGCATTCCCACAAAATTTTCTAGATTTTCCACGCTCTGGGGTTTAAAACAAAGTTTTGCTATAATGAGAAGGGTGATCCCGGTTAGCACCGCATTCATACCCAGCACCAGTAGTGGGTTATGTGGGGCGGATGTCAGTCCCGAGAACATCACATAAAATAGTCCCTGCCCCAGGGAGAGTAGACCAAGTAATCCCAGGAAAGCACCGGGACGGTGAACAATGTCAGTGATGACGACTCTGGTCATGCTTAGTACCTAGATACTGGAAAAAAATAAAATGAAATATTTTCATATTCAAATGTCTGGATAATTTTGAAAAAAATAAAATAAAATATTTTCATACTTATATGTGTAAATGTCTGGATAATTTTAAACTACATATTATTTTACAAGTTCGATAGAAGTTTAACACACATGAAGATACTTAACCAGCTAAGTTTTCAAAAACAAAGAAGATAGCAATAATTATTATGAGTATGAATCCGCACCTCGTGCCCCAAGATGAAGTTTTTTTTAGCAACCCATGAAATTGACATTTTTGCCTCCCTCTTATATACCAAAATTGGTTAAGTCATTTGATAAATAAAAAAAATTAGGAATATTCACAAAAGCTTTCTAGCTGCAGACAAAAACGGGTTGCAATGGATCACCTGAGTTAATCAGATGATCAAAAGAGCAAACTTGGAACCCTCTCTGCCTTTTGTATTCCGTTAAATTAAATTCAGAGTAAAAACAATCAAAGTAATAACTCTAAATGATTAAATAAGAATTCTTACCTTGAGAACAAAATATCAGAAAGAGGAAACAAAATCATAAAAAAGGATTTTAAATTTAGAATCATATTTTCAACGCGCTGTGATTTCATTGGTACACGTATCTACAGGTAGAAGTCATTGATGCAAGACTGTCGAAGCTTCACGATAAAAGAGCGATAACTCTAAATCAAAACGGAGAAAACACGTGTCCACATACAGCACAGGCGATTTTAAATCATTGAATTTACGCGTTTGATGTTTACGTTGTATGAGACATTTAAACCTATATAAAATGATCAGACGTCTACCAAATGAAGTAAATCTATCAAATATCAGACACAGAGGATTACAAATTTAACTTTGTCGATATAAACATGTTTATTAATTGGATCTGGGAAATTCTTTACTATTTTGGTAGGTAAAAAATTATTCTAAGTTCAATATTTTTAATTTCCTCTTTTCTGTCAAAAGCATTTGACATGTTTTCAAAACTGAAATGAGGAATTGTTTGAATGTCTTTTATAATTGTTTCTTCAGGTTTTTATAGGCGGGCAAAATTGATGATAATAGGACTAGATAATGCCGGTAAATCTACGCTGTTGTCTCTACTTAAACACGGAAAACTGATCCAGCATCCGCCGACACCTCGACCAGGTATATTTACAAATACAAACTAACGTACGTTTTAGAGTGCTTCTTATTACAAATGTTTTATGGATTCTTATAATTTAATCTTTCTTTTAATAATATATATATGAGAATTATACATATATTTAACCATTTATCATTAGGTGAGCGAGTAATAGTTATCAGTAATAAATACATATATGTACATGTATGATATACTAATGTAGAATACATTAAACGTATGTACACATGTATATAGTCTAAAACTAAAATCGTGTAGAAATGAGTGCTTGCTCTTACATGCAATTGAAGTTAAGCTTAGGCTTGAACTCCTTGATTTTTCTAAGATATTTCATAACAATCTGTATTAATCAGAATTTATGTAAAGTCTTTAATAATTTTTCCCTGTATTTCAATAGAATATCTTAGATAAGTGTAAAAGTATTCAACATCATTTTCTCTATTTCTTTTAAAGTTTCGGAGGAAATGACTCTTGGCGGTATTACATTTACAGCCTACGATCTAGGAGGGCACCAGATGGGTACAGTATTTTTCTCTTTTACTCCATATAGAACCAATCACCAACTGGCAACGTATAATTTTAAGTCATAACTGTTCATGATCAGTATCAGATACAAAAGATTTTAACAATGTTTATTTATTTAATCAGTATTTTATTAATATGTAAAGTCAGTTTACATAATTGGATTGGACATCAGGCATGGCCTATATAAGTCCTTTCCAAGAAGGTCAAGGTTACAAATGTTAAGAATTGACAATTATTTACAATCACGATGAAATAATTCATAATAAGTTACATTAATTTCTTTTGTTAACTAACGATGTTTTTTAACGATGTTAAACACCTTTTTTCTAAAATTTATAAACATATTTCTTCAAGATTTTGTCAATCGTTAGTAAACATCATATATTCCCATCTTCTTTATGACGTGAACGATTTGCAACTACGCCGACAAAGTATTGTTGTATTACGTGTAGTTGTGCCCGCTTTATTCAAGTATTGTACGATCACAAAATTTTACAATAATCAATAACACCAAGCGTACGACATTTCAACACTATTCAACCATTCCTCACTATAAATTAAAGTCCAGCCTTTTTGTCTTCATAGACAACTGCTTTTTGGATAAATATGAACTCGTAAATTTGCTTACCTTGTCATTGGTCATTTGCAAAATTATGTAAAGTTCAAAATTTGCTTACCTTGTCATTGGTCATTTGCAAAATTGTTTTGTTAAAAACATACTGGTTGTACTCCGAAGTTGCTTGAGTTTTTGATCGAAAATTAATATCTATGTAATTTTTGGAGATCAAGTCTTTCAACAATCTCTCTGAATTCCCATGGGTACTATGTGCGCCACGTTATAAACAGAGCTATTTTTGTATTCATACGAAGCAGAATTTATTCAAAAACTTCTTCATGAAAAGAAGAAGTTTCTAGCTGTGGCCTTCAATTCGAAATTTTAATATATCGACGACTTTTTATCAATTAACAACATTCATTTTTCTTTCCGACATTGATGTCACTTTGAACTCGAAATAAAAGACACCACAGAGACGGACACTTCTGTGTCATGTTTGGATAGTTTACTAGAAAAAGACGTTAATGACAACCTAACATAAAAACTTTATGTTAAACTTGATGACTTCAACTTTTCTTCGTCAACTCCCCTTACTTGTGTAGCAATATACCGTTTTCACCTTTATATGAAGTTTATGTCTCCCAGTTGATTCAATACGCAAGAGCGTGATCTACCTACGAACAATTTCTAAATACAGGCATGTATTGAAAATAAGTTGATGATACAAGGATATCAACACTATCCTTTAAAGTCATCATTTCGCAAAATCTGTACAATGATATCGTTAGCAAATACAACCTATCGTTAAGTCGAATGTTGACTGACGTTTTTCATACAAATTGTTAGGCCAATTTTTACACACTGAATTGTCTACGGATGTACTAAGATGACAGCCTGTTAACGTTACACTTGTACACCTGTACTATGTTGACAGCCCTTTATTGATACATGTACCATGTTGACAGCCCCCTGACGTCACACTTATATTGTATACATGTAGTATGTTGACAGCCCCGTAACGTTATACACCTATATTGCATATAATTATGTACTATGTTGACAGCCCGGAGACTCTGGAAGGAGTACATGCCCGCCATTAACGCAATTGTGTTTGTTGTCGATGCTTCCGATAAAGTCAGGATTTCGGAAACGAGAGCAGAATTAAAGGTACATAGATCAAAAGGGTTGTACCTGTTAAGGTAGACAAATAAAAATTTACAATTATTGATCGGAACATTTTTAATATATAGACCATTTTAGACATGTTTTGAAGGAATAATCCTCGTTCACTATCTTTTATATAATGCATTTATAACAGGGATTATTAGAAAGTGAATTTCCAAAAGAAGTTCCAGTTGCTATACTAGGAAACAAAACTGATAAAAAAGACTGCTTCGGAACGGAGGAGTTAATACAGGTGCTTGGTTTACAGCAGTACCTGAATACGGTAAGTCAGGCATGTTAACTTCACAATTATTTATTTTAAACAGGGAAACAGTAGTGCAATTAATTCTAAGGCAATTGGACAAATCCTTTTCATTCCTTAAAATAGGCTTATAGTAAAAGGAAACACGACTAAATTTAATCTATCCTTTGCATGTTTGATCTTTTTTTTCAGAGTGAAGAATGTGACACTTCTTGTCGACAATGCCAAATCTTTACGACCAGCATGCTATATCGTCAAGGTTATGGAGACGCTTTCAGGTGGCTTGCTAAACAGCTGAAATAAATTCGCTATACTTCTTTCTAACGTGAAAAACGGGTTTCTAGGGACATCCTATGCATGTTAAAGAGACAGAACTGTTCCACGTTTGTTTTATTCCATGTCATTTCTGTGAATTAACAGTTTGACAGGGTTCAGACAATGTAAACAGGTTAATAAATTTGAATTCATCAAGTTATTTATAGCATTTTAAATCGTTTGTACATACTATTTTCAGTCCATTATCATAAATAAATTGACCTCAAGAAATAAAATATGTTTACTACTGATAATCGATGTATATTTGTAAGAAAATACAATAAAAAACAATAGCAAGTTTTGTTTAAATTTGCATGAAAAGTTTAGTAAGATTCAGATCTAAGAACAGTTGGCTCAGAACAACAAAAGACCATAAGGGCAGATAACAAATCTGTGATAAAGTTAATTTTATTTTTACTGTATGTTCCAACCAGTACATTCAGAATTTACAATATATCACAATAATTATATCGCAGAGATTAAATTAAAAAATCATTGTAAGTAAAAATTAACATTACAAATAAAAGCCTCCATTTAGGAGGTAGAATTCCTCCAGATAAAAAAAATACATTCTATTTTGAAAAGAATTTTTCACGAAACACAAAGTGTGTCTCCGAATCTCCGTAAGAAACTTGGAGAAATGAGATAAGGCATTGACAAATAACTTAAAATCTTTATCCTCAATTTAAGAAAGATGTTTAATTGATTTTTGACAAGCATGGAACAACATTTGTAGGAAATCTGAAAAGCTGTTATATCTCTTCTTTCTTCACACTCCCCCAATCATGGTGAAAAGCACAAAACTCATTTTCTGTTCTTCTGCATTGTGTATTTGGATGAAAAGGGGAAAATAACAAACGGTGATCCATCTCAAAAAATTCTATAAAAACACAAATCTGTGAACAGGGTATAAAACACGGACCCTTCTTCAGACTAAATCTTGTTTGCATAAGAAGTTTGACAAAAACTGATTAGAAATCCTTTATTTTTTCCTCTCATTAATGTTATTAAAAATCGTAAAAAGCAAAGGTGAGATAAAACATCCTAAGATTCCTTTGATGACATACACGAAGGGTAACAGTGTCCGAATATAATATAATGCAAGTAATTTTTACATCAAAAATGTACAAGTATATATACAAGATTACTTCGTCATATTGGCAATTTCAATTTGTTTCCGTATTGCGGTTTCAGACCACAAGGAATAGGTGTGTTGGAAATTATGTAATCACTTATATCATTAATTAGATAATCAAGGGGAATTATTGATTAATATTGATTTGAAATATTAATGGGGTAAATAATCAAATATTCACAATTGTATATCAATTTTTAATAAGGTTATTATTACATAACCATTTTATGTGATCTACATCATTATATGTAATCTAAATTTGGGTTAATTAATAAAGTCATAGTGGTGGCAAAGTGCAACATAACCTTTTCTTTCTGTGTTATGTATTAATATGTATAAGATGGAGGGATCAGGTGGTGAAGGAAAATCATAGGAATATGCATCGAATATGCTATACTGAGAATCTAGGGGATTCGAACATTATAAATTATGGATAATACAAAATTAAGGTGAAACCATACTCGTTTGACGTCATATTGTAAACCCGAATGGCTACTACAGTGCGTACGCTATTTGCTTTTCCCAAAAAATAACTATATTTTCCTAATTGGATTAAGACTTTAATGTAATGCCCCCCATAAGTGATTGAAAAAGGCTGCTTTAAAAATATGCGTGAAAAATTGCTTTTTGTTTAAGAATTGTGCAGAAATGCATATATCTTCAATAACGAGGTTTCGATCTGTGTAAAAGTGATTTATTGTCTGCTTTGGCAAGACTTAATTTTTCTGAAAAAAAAATAGTTGAATGTATTTAAAAGTGATTTATTTTAAAAGATATTTTTGTTAAAATTCTATACTTAGAAATGACATTTTAAATTTTTGCAAGAGATTTACCTCAATATTTGAAACTAAATATTTATATACCGGGTATATGAAAATTGAAAAAACAGGAATCTACAGCTAGAGTGTATTACATCTTTAGTGTACTGCATATGACTTTAATTTTTTTTAAAAATTCTTTTCAACGAAAAAAAAATATCATATTAATGTATCAATCGAGTCAAATTATGGATATGTAATAATTTCATTTACTTGTTTTCTTTCTTTAATATATATATATATATATATATATATATATATATATATATATATATATATATATATATATATATATATATATATATATATATATATATATATATATATATATATATATATTTATTATACTTTCATGTTAAATACTAAAATCTGATTGGTTTAGACACATTTAACAATCCGTAATATTACCCTCAGCGTTAGCAACACACATGACAACGGGTAACATTACGAAAATATCACATGCGTTCAAATCATGCGCGTACGGTTCACCGTAGAATTCTCAAAACGTCGGTTGTGCGTTTGAAAGAAACCGAGTAAACGACGTCAATAAAAGCTTGCGTCCGATGTGGCTTACTTGAAAAAGACAAACGACAGACGAAACATCCTTGCGAGTGCAAACTTTAGGTGATAAAGGACTTTTTGAGTAGCAAACAAATAATAAAGAGGTTGGTAAATCTTTTCCGAAGCTTTCTTATTGAGAAAAATAGAAGCGGGGAGTTTGAAAGCTTTCTAAGCGTGAACTTAACGACGATCTCCGAATTTTTTATGACATCCGAAATCAATAAGACATTCAGTATAATAAAATAAATAGTGCACGTTTTTGAGGGTAACAGTTGAAATTGACACCCCTCGGAAAACCATTGTCAACCTCCGCTGACGCGTCGGTTGACAATGGTTTTCCTTGGGGTGTCAATTTCAACTGTTACCCTCAAAAACGTGCACTATTTATATAATATATATATATATATATATATATATATATATATATATATATATATATATATATATATATATATATATAGCTGAATGTTATTTATCTGAACCTGATTTTGCCACAGAGGGTTTGTCTGTACTCTCATCCTTAAGTGGCACTGATAAAAAAAGATAGTTCCTATAAATATGTTTTATGTGAGTTGATTAAATAATGTTTCAAGTTGGAAAAAATTCCCTCAGAAATTAACCCGAGTATGGCTTTTCCTTTACAAAGTCACACCTGCATTGTGTAGAAATGAAAATGGCATTGAAATTTTGCAATGTTCATCCCACACATTAAAACCAGAGAAGATTTCTATAGAGAACAATTTCTGAAAGGTTTAACAATAAATGTATCAGTAAGTATGAATTTTCGGTGCATATTTGTAATATTAATTTTTTTTCTACCTGTCTTATTGAATTAGAATTCATAGTTGACAATTTTTCCTCCATTGCAAAGTTCTGTTATAATATTGAGAATTCCAACATTACATGCAATTTGGTTTTCCGACTGTGTATATTCAGAACTATAGAAGAATTCACGATTCAAAAAAGTTTGAATTTTGTTTTTACATGATAAATTTTATTGATTTTCTTAAACAATGTATGTAAAGACACCAAAATCAATCTTTCGGAAAGATATTCCCTGTCCTTGAGATTATAGCGAGCGCAGCGAGCTCAATAGACTAACGTAAGAACAGAGAAAATTCGGAATGAAATCTGTACATACGTCAGGCAAATTTTCTGGTGCAACATTCCCAGAATTCCTTCGCTACCAGGGTTCCATGCGAAATTTTTACAAAACATTCAAAAGACCAAGGATAATTATTCATTTCCGAGAGATACGTTTACTTTTCTTTCTTTGCAGAGGGCTTAAAAGAAATAAAAAATAATACATCCACTCTACAACGTATTTCATTTATTATTGCACAAGATCTTTAGTCTCGTTCAACCTGACGCTCGGCTGTCTCCGTAAATTCCGACGTCATGTGACGTCACAGTCTAGACTGTGTCTCGTGCGGTTTGACCTTTGAAGAGAAAGTGTAATTAAGCTGCTATAGCTTTTTGATGGTACAACTGCGCTCGCCTTAACGGTCACACCGTAAAACATATTATTTGATCTCCAAGACTCGACAAGCATCGTATTGGTCAGCAAGTGATTCCTTTTCTACACTACTCTACAATAAACCGTGTCCTGTAGCTGCAATTTGCCCATGTCAGAGCACTAATGCATGCACGTGTTCAAACATCTCTTTTTATATTAGAAATTTCTTACATTTACAGAACTTCAAAGGTAAAAAGCCCCCAGAATCTATTCTCGTCAATCTGTGTTCCCATGATATCGACACTACCTCCAGATCCCGGGGTCGTGAGCACAGCAGACCATTCGTCCGAATTTTTGTTCATATTCTCTCCACCTGCTATAGCTTTCTTAACAGAAGAAGACTTAAATTTGAAGCTGACTTGTTGGTTAGCAGGTAACTGTCCGCTTAGCGGTTCAATTAATATGCAGAGGTACTCTTGGGCTTGTGGATGTGAGACGGGAAAAGGAATGCAAGGGTCGGCAGGCCTCTGACACTCAACTAAGAAATTACCCATTTCATGGTAAAGGTTGTCGGTGTCTTTTTCTTTTTGACACATAAGCTCCAATCGATAGTATCCTGTGGATGGAAATTTAAGGTTTATCTTCAAAAAGTTCTTCCCACCTGTGATTAAAGTAAAATTCTTTCTCAAATTGTAATTGGCATGTGAGAGTTGAACCATAGAAAGTATATTCCTAGTTGTTCTCAGAGTAAGTTCCGATTGGCCATTACTGCTTTGCAGTAACGCTGGTACCTTAAATTGATCTGACCTTAAAAATCCGTTTTCGTAAGCTCTCTGTCTCAGTCCCCATTGCTTTGTAAGTCGTGGATAGGGACTGACATTTGATGCTTGTGTATACTTGATTACATAAGTCATCAACTCATCTAGCTTTTCCTGAGTTGGGTCTATGGTACCAAATAATTCAACCCTATATGTTACAGTTTTTGGTGGGTTAAGCGTGATTTTTATTTCATGTGCAGATACCTTTCGAAGAAATCCATATTCCTCTACTCTTTTGCCACTCGGGTATTCATAGAATTTAAATGTTGTATCCAGTACATGGCCTTTTACATCTGCTATGGTAATTTCAACAGAACCTTTGACTTCTATGACACCATGCTTATGTGACTTTGGGTGAATATCCCACTCCAGTGCAGTGTTAGAAAGTTTAATGTTTCTATTAAACTCATCGAGGGAGATGGGATTTTTAAGCAGCTGCCATTTCATGTTAAATTCCTCATCGTTGTATTCAAATGGAAAGTGGTCTACAATGAAATGTCTGGGATTTGTTAGAAAATAGAAATTGTTGAATTCTCTCTGGAATTCCCCTGCATTGCTCACATGTCCTGCACCCCATGTGCATTCGACAAATTGCCACTTATTTTCCAAAAATACTGCATTCCATGCATGATCAGTTCTCCTATTTGGTGTAATGGGTTTCTCAGGAGAATATCCATAGCCTTTTGAAAATCCAGGAATAACTTGCACTTGTATCCCTGCAGTTCTAAAATAAAGCATGACCTCAAATCTCATTATTTTCCCCTTGGTGATGTCGTTGATTTGTAAAATCAAAAATTTGACTTTCTCCACCAAACTAAATCTATACTTAGTTAATCAAGGTAAGAAAACAGCTGATGTGTCTAAGTGAAGAACAGAGTATTTGGTGTTTTTATCACAATTTGTTTTATGTTTATTAATTAAAGAAATGAAATGACAAATGAGAGACAGCATTTACTTGCAAAAGGCTTCGAACAAGTTGGCATAACCGCTACACACCGACCCCCCTCGTTTCAAGACTTGATTCAGCATCCGTTTTTCCATAATTTCCGCTAAAGAAAGCGTCTGTGTCATATCTAAACAAAGAAATTAAACACAAGACTTAGTATTGTTTCCTTATTATTAAAGACATCATATATCCACTTATGATGCCTGGATTGGTACATATTTTTGGACCTATTTTGGTTGTAATTTATGCGAATGATAAAATTCTAAAATATCAGTAAATCATAAAATCAAAATAAAATTCTCGGCGGTTAACCTTATTCATTTTACTTAATTAAGCATATTTTAGGTTGTTATTTTCAAGATTTTGAAAAAAAAAAGTTTTTTGTATCATATCTACTGTATACAGGGTTATTTTCGGCCTGTGTTATTTTCGCCATTTACACTTGCAAACAATTTTGCCCTGTTTTAAATTCACCCAGTCATTGTTTTGTTCTTTGAATTCGCCCCGTTTTAAATTCGCCCACTTGTGACTAGGGCGAAGGAGGCGAAAAAAAAAAGGGACAATAATTTCCCTGTATACAGTAAATGATTTTACATTATTAATTACTTAATATTGTAAGCAATCCAGACGAAAAAGGCTCGAACTTTTTCTTTATCCGACTTTGCTCCTTTGATAAGATATTCCGTCAAACTCTTCACTGAAGTTTCGACATTTTTAGGTGCCTGATTGAAATGAAATTGTACATTATTTTTTATATTATGAATGTAACATACATATATGTAGTGATCTGATATATAAAAATTTAGCTAATCGTTATAATTTTACTAGGATGCATTTGTGTACGGAAACTTATTTTAAAAAAATATCAAGTATTCATATAAATTTTTAATATGCATTTTGGGCAGATATTTATATCTCCATTTATTATTCAGTGTATATTGATTTTGAAGGATTTGATATATATAAAAAAAATCCTTTTTAATTTGCAATCTCGAGATTCAGTTATCAGTAAATTGCAAGCACATTTTTTTTGCTAAAACACATGTATGTTTAAATCTAAAAATTAAATGTAAGTACATACATGCATCTGATTGAGTAATGTTCATGATTGTTTACATTTCTTCAATTTTTTTAATTCAAAAACTTTTTTAATTCGATGTTTCTCACTTATCACATCATTTGACTATGACAGTAACCTCAAAGTAGCAACATTAACTCTTAAGATCGAAGAGCTCAGGCCATTTTAAAACCTCTATGTTTAATAAACATGCAATAGGTTTATATTTATAATCTAGATATTTTAAAAATATTTAATTTACTGTTAATTATCCCGTTCATCTACCCCCCCCCCCCACCCCCACCCCCCGAAAAAAAAAATCAAGATAGCTACTTACTTACACACTAACACACTATATCAACCAAAAAATATTTGAAGGATACTTAAAAATGGCAAATGTTTACTCAATGATATTATTATCACATATTATTAATTTAGATTTTACTTACATTTATTGAATGAGCATCAATAAGATCATAGACACCTTCCTTGTGTTCTTTTTTTGTAACTGTTTTACTGCTATCCGGTGACGGCTTTTGTCCTTTTTCTTTTGGAGTAATTAAGTTATCTTCTTTTTGTTTGTTTTTTGTATGGGGACTTTTATCCGCTGGCGGTTTTTGTCTTTTATCTCTCGGAGTAAACAAAGAAGTTCTTTGGTCATCTATTGCCACAGCGTTTGATGCACTGCACCCCATACTTCTATTTGGGACATGTAATCAGCTCTGGTTCTATACTTCCTTGTAGATTAGTCAGAAATCGCGCTAATTTAAACTACACGTATTCTTTACTTTTATCATCCAAGGAACGGGTCAATAACGGTATTGATACCATATAGGTATTGTAACAATGCAATGTGTCAGAATACAACAATGTTTAAAAGGACACACGAGATCACGATAATTTATCAAGATTTAACCTCATTAGAAGTGAAATGAAAGAAACTAGACCTATTTGTTACGAAAGGATAAACACTGTTATAATCAAAAAATAAAATGAAAAACCTTTGTTTTTATTCAAAATAATTACTCCCGCATACAAAGCTATATAGACATTAATTATTTTCAAGTGTATGAATTTGTGCATTCTATTTTTTAAAAACTTTTTTGTTATCTGATCATTAAAAATTAACTAAACGTTAGATTCAGAAACATTCCTTGTGACAATAGAGAAGAAGTGAGATTTAAAACTAGGAGACTAATTGTTCACAGAACAATTAGAGGCCTTTCCACCTTTTTAAGTGTTTCCGTGTCATTTGGGTTGAAAAAAAAGGAGAAAAACGCAAAAAATGAAAAAAAAGAAAAAAAAAAATGCTCCTCCAGCTGGGCTCGAACTCAAAACCCTTGGGTTGAAAGGCAGGTGCGCTAACCATTCGGCCACGCATTTCGAAAACATACGTAAGTTAATTGTTTAAGACTATAAAAGAAATGCAAGCGTATTTTTAGAATCGGTAGGGGAAGAAAGAAGTTCCGTAAAAGGAAATAGTTCCTGAACTTGCAAGCAGTATATAAAATAACAAGGGACGGGCTGCGTGAGAAAACGTTAACACTGTTCCCTAATGAAAATGTATCAATGGACTGTAAGCCCGATTCATCGATATTGTGAGCATGCTGAATTTTTTGTAAATAGCTTCGTTGTAAGCTTAAAAGATCGGGTTCGGATTTTAACATTTCTGACTGAATATCCTGAAATAAATATGAAACATTTAAATAAGCATTTCCTTGGGTTAATTTAAATATGTGTAGCCCAAATTAAATTCCCAACATGCATTTTTAGAAGGGAAACACGACAATGAAAGCGAGAATTGTTTTTAATATACCGAAAATCGCTATTTCTGGAAACTGATTAATTCTAAATAAAAATCAAATAAATTCCAAATGTAAAAGAAAGAGAGAACGCTTGGTATTAAAATGTCGTATCATATCAGGAGAATTAAATGCTACTAACGACATCTGAAGAAATAGCCGATAAAAGGTTTCGATCATTTCTTCGTTCACCTGCACTTAAATTTCAAACACAACAGAACTTGTAATTTTTGCCGTGAAACTTCATGACTTCTATAAACTTATAAGACTCACCGTAAAACTCTCCAGAAAGTTTCTCTGAGGTCTATACTACATTTGTACCAAATCTGGTGTCGATCCGAGGTCTGGTTTGAATTCTAGAGTAATATGCTACATTGTTGTTGATGTGATTTTTTTTTTTTTTTTTTTTTAAGAAGTGGGGGGGGGGGGGGGAATTATTTATTTTATGCCTCTTTTAAACTACGAATTGTAACTACTTCCACATCCTTAAGCCTTATTGTGACCTTTGAGTCAAGGTCAAAGGTCAAGGTCAAAGGTCAAGGTAATTCCAAAAAAAAAAAAAAGAAGAAATCTTTACTTTCTGTATTTTTACCTGATACTGGAGCTGGATGCATGTCCTAACTTTTCTATTTGACCCAAGGTCAAAGGTCAAGGTCAAAGTTCAAGGTCATTTGGTGAATTGCTATATTTTACACATATATAAGGGATTTCTTATGTTTTTAAATGACCTTGACCTTTGACCTTGACCTATATTTCAAGGTCAAAGGTCAAATATGCCGATGCAGTTGGTCCCATGTCTCTAGGATACACCATTTTTAAAATAAGTTCATTAAATGTAAGTAGCGTAAACTTTCAGGGGCAGTAACTCATACAAGGGACCAAAGAATGCTTTCGCAATGATAGAATGAAGAGAGTACTAAATGAGTCAAAGACACTGATGAAGGTTTGGAATCTCTACGGTTTACGGTTTCGGAGGAGTAGCGATAACAAGGTTTTGTTGCAAAAGGGGTGACAACTTTTGAATGGGTCAAGCTCGGGGGACAAGAATGAAGTCTTTGAAATAGTTTTAGAAGGACATATTATAGATGCAAAGATATTCAGTATATGTTGAAAGACAAAAGAGATATTAAAAAAGCTAATTTTCTCATATTTTGAATGACCTTGACCTTTGACCTTCACAAAAATTTCAAGGTCAGAGGTCACAAAATCTAATGCAGTTGGTCCCATGTCTTTACGACTTATCGTTTAGAGAATTTTGTCATTATTCGTAAACATCAAAAACTCTCAGGGGCAGTAATTTATAAAAGGGCTCGACAAATCGTTTCGCAATGAAAAGATTGAAAAGTCCTCTCGAGTAGTCGAAAACATTGGTGAAGGTTCTGTATCTCTACGGTTTATGGTTTCGAAGGAGTAGCGATAACAGGCTATTCTTGCGAAGGGGGCAATAACTTCGTAAGAGGTCATGGGTCAAACACGGGGGGTCGTTTTTCGAAATAACTTTTAATGTCCAGTATCATGAACTATAAAGTTTCTCGATAAGTCTTGCGGTTTCAAAAGTCCGGGAAGAAAAAGAATAATAATAATAATAATAATAACTAGTAGACTAATTGTTCTCGAACAATTAGAGGTCTTTCCACTTTCTTTAAATTTCTTTAATTTTTATATTTTACTCTTTAAAGTTAATTTTTATACAAAAAGAATCCAGAAATGGCTTGAAAAATAGAAAAAATGAAAAATTTTAAAATTTTGAAATGATCTTGACCTTTGACCTTTACCACACATTAAAGGTCAAAGGTCAAGAATCACATTGCAATTGGTTTTATGCTTCTAGGACAGATACTTTTAAAGTTATAAGGCCTACTATTAAGCGCAAAGACGTTAAAGGGCGATAACTCATATAAGGGGTCATCAGATCCTTT